TAGCTCTGACTGAAGCTTTTGGGGTCATTGGTAATTTCAGAAGAAAATACACTGAACCAGTTGTCAAAAATAGATATTTTCCCCCCTGTCTATGAAAGAAACTATGAAAAGTGTCCTTGAGACTCAAGTAGTCTTCGAGAATGTGTAAGAGATGTGTAAGTGCCCTTTGCTGTTTGGTGCAGTTTCGTAAGTGTAAGGTTTTACTCCACTACAGGAAACCTTAAACTAAAAATAAAACCTGAAATCATAGCAACAACTAAGAAAACGTGATAATAACATAAACCTTTTTTTAAAAGACCGGATCTGTTTGTGCACTCACTGAAGAGACAAACTCTTAGTACAGAAGCCGACGCTGTCCATGGTGCTGAAATCTAGCACCCACTGTTGCTTCAATATACGCCTACCTCCTTCCCCTGCTCCCTCTCAGCCTCATTAGTCCACTTCCAGACTGTCTAATGATTAATACACATCCGTCTGTGCAGACTGAGATATGCATGTCATAAAAGCAGGGGACAGGGATGCCATTTAGCCTATGTCGTGTTGGCTGTGAGGCAGCTCTCCTCCATTTAACCCTATTTAAAACAGCATTCCTAGATTTGCATTGGATCTGTATGCAGAGGGCGAAATAAGCGGTAGATCAAAGTTAGAGAGGAGACTCACTTGACGGTTATTCCTGCAGGGCATGAGTGATGGCCTCCAGCTGATGCACTTGATGAGTTTTCTCAGTATGAGGGGCCGGTCTGCAGGCGTGAGGACTTGTTTTTCAAGTGACCCAAACACTTTTCAAGGTCTTAATTTAATCAGATATTCAACACATAGATTCACTGAAATTCTGCACTAAAACTTTCAAGTGATGTCCTACTGTTCATTCAAGAACTCTCCAAGGAGACAATAACACATCTATGAGGTGATACTTTTTTTTTCATTACTCATAAATAGTGATGCACGATATGAAAAATTTCAACAGATACCGATAACCGATAATTTTCTTCTTCTCATGGCCGATACCGATAACCCATAAATTCATATTTTTACATTTATTATAATCTTCATATAATCTGCAGTTTGTGCAGGATGCAGCGATTGAAAACTGATGTTTTTGTTGCTCTGGCCTATCTAGAACAACAAACAAAAGTTTTTGGCTCTTCAAATGTGGTCATTTGCTATAAATACCAATAACAGAGCAAAAAGCAGAACTTCACTTGACCAAAACAGTGCATCCCCTGAATTGTTCAACAGAACTGTAGACTGTAAAGGAGCTATTATGAGACGTTAGGCTTAGCATGCTGACCGGACTAACATCTGACGTTCATATGTCTGTGGTAAAACTCACGTGTAGTCCGTTCTTGTCGATCAGGTTGTGAATGTATGTGGCGACAATATCATAGAGTGCAGGAAGAGACACATCCGAGAAGAAGCGGCGGCTTGGGAGAGTGTAACATGGCTCCAAGTGTGCTATTAACTTGCGAAAACCCGGGTTCTCAACGACGGAAAAAGGCTGGTCGTCGACTGCTATGAACTCCATCACTTTGTCGTTAATGCCTTTAGCCTTTTCGCTGTCTCTTGAGAAGCTTTTGCAGTTTTTAAACGCCTGCTGAATGGGGACATCGATCCTCCGTAGTGTTGTTGTCTTAGCTTTAGTACCGCTAGCAGCTTCGGCGGCTGTCTCATATTCTTTTACTACCGCTTCGCCGCGATGGCGACTTTTCAGATGAGCTATCAGATTCGTTGTGTTAATACTTGACGTCTTCTTTCCTCCTCTCGGAATCCTCGCTGAACAGGTTTTGCATATAGCAATGCTGTTGTCATCTTCTGCCACTGAGAGAAACGACCATGCTGGTGAAGACATTTTATTATCTGTCAGGTAGTGACGGGGTCAGGCTTGGGACCTGCGAGTAAGGCGCGATAGATGACGTAACCAGCGCGTCTCGGACGAGCGGCTACTCCGCCTGCAAACGTTACTCGTAATTTCATTAATATATCGGATCTTTCTATCGGAAAAATGCACCTATCGGACCGATAAAAAATGACGTAATTTCCCCCCAAATCGGCCGATATTTTATCGGTCCGATAAATATCGTGCATCCCTACTCATAAATCAATGTTTTAAAAAGTAGCACTAAGTTTTGACCTTAAAGAAGCTACCGCTGGACCTGATTGCAGTCTTCCGATCGGTTTTTCTTTGCTACTTAAAGTGTTCTCAGTGGTTTTAACTTGTGATTAAAAATCACATTATCTTTGTCATTTTCAAGGACTTTTCTTATACAGAGCTCCAGTAGCTCATTAGCATTTCACCTACAACAAGATATAAGATGCTGTCATTGCACTTATGCACAACAAAAAGAACACACAAGAGGGAGGGAGAAGAGGTAAAAAAAAGAGACTGCTCTCATTAATATGAGTGTAAAGACACAAAAAAAAAAAACCTCTGAGCCGTGGGCGGAGTCAGCGCTGCTCTACACACTCCTTTTCACGCAAGCTTGTAGCTAAACATTGCCGGGGTAGTAGGAATAGCAGGTAACATAGGATCTTCAGGGACATGATGAAAGTTAATATCATAATTAGCTTTCTAATGAGCATTGCAATCCACTAACGCACAAGCTTGTTCCGTGATCATCGTCTCTATTTCTCTAGAGTCTAGAAAGGCTCCAGGGGCGGAGCTCGGATTTGTGACATAGGAAATCTCACAGTGTCTGAACCTGCCGTTTGGGTCTGCCAGAGATTCACAGCCATTTGATTGAAGAAATACTTAGTTTTCTTATAATATGTCCTGCAGCATCAGAAAAATGCCATATGAACATGTAAACAACAAGAAAAACATGATTTTCATCGGAGTGGATCTTTAAATGGATCTTTTTGTATCCGGCTATTCACAGACATCTTGATTTTGTTTCAAGGTCATTTATCTGATTCCCGTGAGGGCCATGTAAGGTTTAGGATCAATATGACCTCTGGAAGTGATCTGTAGTGACCTTTATCCACCCGCTTGCTCATTAAGAGCCTCAGAGGTGGAACTATTTATTGATTTGTTAGTTGATGGAAAATAAATTTTTGTAATCTTTTTTAAAATTATCGAGATGTTTTGGTGCACAGGGAGTCAAATTTAGCCTTCTTAAAAATCTTTGAGCGTTTTAGACATTAAACAGTGAAACTAAACTGCAGAGAAAGTGACAGGACTAAAAAGCGTAAATGTAGACCTGTTGTATTTCCTAACTCTGTGGTATCTGTCTTCGTTTTTTCCCCTCTTTCTTCCTCTTTCTCTCTTTGTGTCCCACTTCCCCAGTCCATCCAGCCTCAGCAGATGGCTGTTCACCATGAAACCGGTTCTGTTTGAGGTTTTGGCCTGTTAAAAAGGAGTTGTTTTCTTGCCACTGCTGCCAAATGCTTCTTAAAGCCTTATTCATGGAGGATTTGTGTGGAGGCTCTGTCAACCATATAACAAAGAGCAAACACAGACCTGCTCTTTCTGTGAAGTGTTGAGGAAAACTTTGGTCATGTTTTGGCGTTCTAGCAGTAAAAACTGTTCAGCTGATTGAGTGATTATATGCAAAGGATTTAAAACAGTTTAACAGTTATATTTATCTAAACAAATCAAAGACAAGTTCAAAGTAGGAAAGTGTGTCTGTCAAAGGGGATGAAGTTGCGGAAAAGCATGAATCAAAAATGAGTAGTTCACTTTCTGCATTTGTATAAATGTTCAAAATAGACTGGTGTAACATTAAGATTCATGAAAAGAGTGAAGAAAAGCCTCTTTTCTTTCAATTAAAGCAGCTTTTCCTGCTTTGCAATGACGTAACTTCAACTTAGAAAGTTGAGTAGTATAAAATAAGAAGGGAACTGTCCATGTGTTTGGTACACTAAATATCCATGTATAATGTATCATATTACTAGCACTGTATTTACTATGTCAATGCTGACATCTCCACGGCATACAAGTGAATAGTATTTGGTTTTGGTTTGGATAAATTGTTTCAGATTATAACAGAATATGATGTTCACAGTTAAAGGTGGGGTAGTCAGGGTCTGAGGAAGTGCCAGTTTTGGGAGAAATCTTGAATGTGAACTACTTTAGATGCCAACAGACTACCAGCAAACACAATGTTTGCAGGACTTCTACAACTAGGATAAAGTGACATAGTCCAGGACCCGAGGTAAATGGTTTAGCGGCGCTACAACACGCAGCAGGTTTTGTTGACAAGAAACACTTCGGTTTTACTTGGCTTACTTTGTTAAAGCGGTTTACCTGTCCAGCAGAAAGGTTACAGGGTCAGTAAGATCCTGGGGCGTCCCCTATCATTTTATGTTGACCCGTCTTTTTAGCTCTTGTCCAGTCTACCATCTTTTTAAGCGCCCGTTATTCCGCCAGAGTCTCCTGTATTTACTTTGTTTTCTTGCTTGTGTTGGCAGTCGTGGCCAAATGAGGATTTAGACAATTTTCTGTACTTTCTGGTTGGTTTCTACTGTCTGATATTGTTGCACACTAACTTTGTTTGGGCTCGTGAACGACACGTGGGAGCAGCGTCTGCCTCACAACCAATCAGGATGGGGGAGGCGGGGAATGGCTTTGACTACACAGACATAACAAAACACAGTGATATCGTTATGTTATCAAATGTCATCTATGACTAATAGCTATTGACTGACATTAAAAGCTTTTTTGTATATTCACCACAAAAAAAGATGCTTCTTTAACAGATTCCTGCCTACCCCACCCTTAATATCTGCTCTAATGGAGCACAAACTGTGCACCCATTTTCCATAATATTTCCATATTTCAGTCTCTTTATTGGTGCATTACGTCAGAGTTAGTAAAGAATATTAGTTTAGTTAAGAAAAATTGATATTTTGGAAGCTTTGACCATTAAAATAAAGTGGATTGACCTTCTGTATCAAGACATAATTTGCCCTGATCGTACATCACTCAGTTATATTATGTTAAATAACTGCCCACATATCGCCCACTGACCCTACACTGTGATTTGAAGTATTGTTCATCATTCATTGTTTCAAGTCTTAATGTTTCTAATCAACGCTGGTCGTCCATCAACTGAGGCAAACACCGTATTCACAGGAGCACAGGTTTAATTAGCTGGAGGTGAAATGTGCTCTCTTGTCACCAACCGTCTGCCCCTCGGCTCTTTCCGTCTCTTTCCGCCTTCTCATTAACATTCCTCACTTGTGGGTGTGAAGCTGAAAGGATCTCCGGCGCGCCGAGCGGAGACGCGCAGAGTCCCTGTGCGTTCAGAGGAGGAGGAGGTATCAGCTGCCGGCAGGAGGAGAGAGACGAGGAGGAGCGGAAGAAGAGACAGCAGACCTCTACATCTCAGGCTGCTGGTGTCCAGTCAGTGCAAAACAAAACAAAAAAAACCCCACTGATTATTTTGGTTTTCTCCCCAAGGCTGAAGGTGTCCACTATGTTTCGGATCTAACGTCTCAGGAGAGAACAAGGAATATCAGACTCCCCTGGTGGATGTGGACACCTAAACTGTGGACATGGAAAAGATAGTGAATTTATCCCTTTCTGTTCTGCTGGTTTTATGGGGATGCGCGCACGGAGGCTCGCCCAGTGTCCAGATTGGTACGTATCCATGAGTTCAAACGCAAAAAAAAGAGACACTAAATTGGCCGAAAAGCAACAATTTGTGCGTAAAATCTTGAGGAAAACTGGCGAAAAAAAACGTTTTTTTTATCAAATGAGAAAACTGTGAAGGTGTAACTGATGTTCTGTGTCGGTTTCAGGGGGACTTTTTCCAAGGGGCGCGGATCAAGAGTACAGCGCTTTTCGGATAGGAATGGTTCAGTTTGGCACCTCGGAATTCAGATTGACGCCTCACATTGACAATCTGGAAGTGGCGAACAGTTTCGCTGTCACCAACTGCTGTAAGTGCCAAAATCATTTCCCCTCATCTTTACAATAATTCTGGCAAGTGTTGATATCATCCATAAATCACTGGAGTTGGCGCTCCTTTTGTGCGTTTCCATGGCATGAGTTTGGGTCTTTAATGATTCTGGAAGACAGGAATTATTCCAGCTGTCTGATCTTTAGTCTTTCAGCAGACATGAGGAGGCTGTGAGCTGGTTAGATGTGGCTGAGGAGCATCGTGTGGGCAGGAGAAAGTTGGTTTCCACAGTAACAGTCAGTCACATCCATCCCCCCTTTTCATTCCTCTAGATTCTAAGATGAAACAAACCCGCACTGAAAAATATCGATCCAACTTCTGATTTCCAGCCAACAGTCTGGAAACTGAATCCTCAGCATGAGAAAAAAACGCTGTAGCTGGGTAATTACGCCCAATTAAACCCTTTCCCTTGAATAAAAAGCCAGTTCCCTCGGCCGTCAGCGCAAAGATGTCACTTTTTCCCCCTTTTTTCTGCAATAAAGAAACCCTCGCCACATTATTCAGAGTTTTCTGACATGTTTAGTGAAGAGAAAAGAAGATATGGACTCTCATTTTTTCAGTGTGCACCGCTGTCACGTCTGTTCTCAGCTCAGAAGGAGCGGTGTTCATCCACATCCATTGTTGTCAAAGCCCACATACATGGATTCACGCTGAGCGTCGTGCGTAATGTCTGGGCGACGCTTTAACATGTATTACTGATTAATATAAACGGTGAATGAAGAGCCCTGCAAATGGCCTGCTGCTCCTCCAGGGAGCGCAAGGGTTAATGGCTTTTGACCGAATCACGACTCCTCATTGAAAAGAGTCTGCCTCATATCAGCGTCTGCTTTTTTTTCTTCAACCACAAATCTGAGAGTTTGGGTTGAAATCAAGTGTTTGTCTGATCCAAAGAGGCAGGATGAGGAGGGTTTCCTTTCAAAACAGCCGCAACAGGAGGAAGTAAATAGGTTCTAAGGTCGCTATTTTTAATAGCCTCAGCTCCAACATTTCATTAGGCGGTTGCCAAGCGACTACTCCTCTCAACAGTCCCTCACACATAAATCAAACGCTTCTGATTGGTGCGCGCATCGCTCCAATCGATTTCATTACCATATAAAAGCTTCCTGCTTGGAGAAGCTCTTTGCGTGTGACAGATCACAGCGAGATCCGTGTCCACGTCCAACATACAAATGTCACTGTGCCCAAGCTGTGAGGAAACGACACTGACAACACTGTTCCCAACTTAAGGTGTGTTTACTGAGACTCTTGACAGGGTGGAGGACGGATGGAGCTGCTGTTCAGACAGTGTAGACTCCTGTATATGTCACTGTTTTTTTCATCTAGGATATAATTATTATTACTATTACTAATTTACAAGGGTCTGATTATTTAAATAAAACCACAATCATCCACGCTGACAGAAACTATACTCAATAAAGATGTACACTTGTAGATATTTTCCTTTAATTTAGCTGCTTTTACCTCCAAGTCTTTGAAGCATTTTGCCAAATTTGTCATTTCAACTCATTATGATCAATATTGGAACATTACACACTTAATTGACTTGCTTGCTTTTTGGCCACTCAAGGTTTGAAGAAGGGAAATCAGCAAATAAAATGATTTTTAGGTCTTTATTTTGATTGTGCGCAGGATCCAGGAGGCTCATGAGGGTCAGATTCTGATCTGCATGGCTACAATCCATCCAAGAAATTAATCCTATCATGCAAAAAACAATTTAAAGTCAGATTTTTTTTTATATCACATTGGTGTTATGCAACCCTCGTGCATGCTTAAATCTTGAGTATTATGATAGTTATAGTTCTATTTCATCCTCCTGCATTGACAAATATTCAAGCGAAGCTCAACTGAGGACTGCAGATCATGCAAACCTGCACACAGTTCCCCTCAAGCCTGTTGTAGACTGACTGGGTGTTAAGAATAAACAAATGACTGAATGATGCAGATTTGAGTGGTAATGTTGAGCTGAATGTATCATCCATGCTGTTTTTTGTGTCTGAGCCTAGCATCAAGGCGGCATGTGCACATGCATATGCTTTTGGACCTCTTCCTCTTCTTCTTGAATACTTGTGTGGGAGTTGGGAGTAGGAGGGGGGGGTTCTCTTAAGCCGGTAGATGGCAGCCTGCCTCACAATACACCTCCATTATAGTGGATTAGGAACACCATGCTGTCTTTCTTTAAAATGTGCTTCATGAGGCAGCACAGCCGAGAACAAAAGGAGAAACCATGAAGCTGACGCAGCAGATTGATGCTAGAAGTGTAAAACTAGATTCCTGTCAGGTTTTTATGGAGCTCCAGGACTCCACACATTTTATAATCAGAGAAAGTACTTCAGGTTTCATTGTGGATCCAGAAAAAAGAACATTTGTCCTTCATGCACAGAATAAAAGAATGAAAGAAAAATAAAACTATGTGCGATATTATTGAAGTGGACAGCAGGATCTAGGAAAGATTTATCCTCTCTCTTTATTGCTTCCCAAAATACGTTTGGAGAAGATATGCTGAGCAAATATGAACAGATTTAGGGCTAAAACTCAACACAAATGGTGGGTTTCACATGTCGCACAGCATTCATCGTCTTGAGGACTAGGGCTGGGCGATAAACTGAAAATTTAGCTATACCGAAATTTACGACAATAACCAACATCATTTTGCCCATGTCAATACATTCGCTGTCAAAAAATAAATAAATAAATGAAAGTTGGTTTTGGATGTGTGTAGGTAGGCTATGGTCTCATGTCCCTTTAAGACGCTGTCCAATGTCAGAGACGTGACTCCACCCCATCCAGTCAGTAACAAAGAGGGAAAGACAGGTGAGGAGATGGAGGACGGTTTAAAAATTGGGGCGACTGTTGAAGTAGACAAAGCTAATGTGGGAGGGGGTGAGCAGCTTGTGGAGTAGTTATCGTCCATTTATCGTTATCGAGGTGAACTGCTCAATACATCATGATATTGATTAGAAGCCATATCGCCCAGCCCTTTTAAGGACCAACCTCAAAACAGATGATAGAAATTGCTACCAGCTATTCTGCAAATGATGGATTATATTAGGGCCGACAAATAGGAGGGGATTTCTAAACCAAAGTTGTACAATTACGACAACAAATTGGTAAAATTACAAGGAAAACGTGAGGAAGGTGAAGCATCGGAAACTGCTGTTTGTCTTCAGTTGAGTTTAACGTCACAAGATCATCCTTAGCTTACATAGATTAACCGAAGCTTGTAATTTCTCATAGAATAACAACGTTACTCTCTCTCATTTATAACATTACTCTTGGAAAGCTGACACCAACCCCTTTAGACCAGTCTAAGAGATTAGAAGTCACGATATTAAAAGGGTTAGTCTTGTTTCTGATGGTCTTGTTGTGTTTGAATATCATGATTTTAAGTCCAGTCAAAAAACTTACAGGAGTTTTAACCTTCGAGCAACTTGTTAGAGTAAATTCCCAGTCTGGAAGTATGGTGTCAGCCCTAAAGGATACAGTAACTACATGATTAAAAGTGATTTTAAAAAACTCACACTGAGAACATATGGATTTGCAGCCTACAGACACATCAGACTCGACTTGTATTCGGCCTGTGCTACAGCTTACTCCATCAATGCAGTGTGTCAGAGACAGTGGGAGGGAGGGTGATACATTCCTCCATCAATAACAGTTCATCTGGACAGGCCTGCATCTGCTGCCAAGACCAGGGGAGTTGTTGGCACTGTGTGTGTGTCAGTGCTGTTGTATTAGTCTGCCATCCATCCCAGAGCAATAAGTTTCAAAGATTCAAAGTTCCCGGAATAGAGACACCTTAGAAACCCAACATGGTTTTATGACTAATAAACAATTCCTGTGCTGTTAAAAGGACAGGTTTTTATGACGGATTTTCAAAGTCTGCCTGTCATGTTCTGACTGAATTTGGAGAGTTGTAACTTCTAATGCGTACATGCATAAAGGTCTGCTAAAACCTGTTGGTAAGGACACATTTTGGGGTTACCAGGTCTGTACAGTACCTGTGGATACGTAATTTCCACGCGGGTTGCTTTGTTGGATATTTGATTCTGATTGGTTGAAGAGCCACTCCGATGAAAATCATGTTTTTCTTGTTGTCTACATATTCATATGGCATTTTTCTGATGCTACAGGACATATCATGAGAAAAATATGTGCGAAATTGCGTTTCTGAATCAGGAAGGCTCAGATAGAGTGAGATTTCCTACATAGCAAATCAAAGCTCCGCCCCTGAGGCCCCACTATGCTGGCCAGACTCCAAAAAGTAGAGAGGACGATCACAGAACAAGCCTGTGCGTTAACAGATTGCAATTTTCATAAGAAACCTAATTATGATATCAACTTTCATCATGTTCCCAAAGACATTCATGTCCGAGAACTGAATAGCTCCTATGTTACCTGCTTCTGCTACTACACCTGCAATGTTAGGCTGCAAGCTAGCATGAGCAAAGCTGTCTCCGCCCACAACTCAGAGGTGAATTGCTAATGAGCTACTGAAGCTCTGCAGAAGAAAAGTCCTTGAAAATGACACAGGTAATGTGATTTTGGCTTTAAACTTTATAATCACAGTTCAGAGACCACTGAAAACACTTAAAGTAGTAAAAAAAAATCGGAGTGGGACTTTGAAACCTTTTGACAAAGCAAGAGCTTCATGTTCATGGTCGGCATAACCACCAGTTGAGTACATTATCCTTAACTCATCACCCCACTGTGTTGAATACTTAATTCTGATTGGTCAACCCTCATATCAACAGTAATCAGGCAATAATAGTTTACAAAGTGTCAGCAGTCTAACTTGGTAAACAAACGCTGAGGTAAAAACACTAGTTTAGTCCTGATAGCTGCATGATAACAACAGTCCAGAGCCTGGGGAGCTCCTGCTGCTCAAACACCTGAGAATCCTGTGATGTTATCATATATCATAAAGCATGACTCATACATGATGAAATCAGTCTTGGATTATTTTTAACCACGGTGTTGCAAAATGTCATTTTTGAGCGTATCTGATGTGCAGGAATGGGACCGCTTTGATATCATCATGATATGGAGTTAAGATAATCTCCGATATGACTGATGCTGTATATATATGTCAGCTCAGAAATCTTACACTTTAATAACAAAGAGCGATGATATGACAGAGATTTGATAATACTACAGCCAATATTTTCAGATATGGCATACGGCATAGTTCAATATTTTTTTTTAATGAGACATATCTGGAAACATTTTTATTACCATATAAAAGATCAATCCTATGATAATGCAAACAATTAAATCTCCATCTATGCTGCTAATATGATAAAGATTGTGTTTTTGCACATGAGGGTCCTGCTCACCCTGCATGGATTCAAACTTGCATAACAACCCATCCATTATACATAATTACAACACACACACTCACTACAGCTCTTATTACACAATCCTCACAAAGTCTATCCTTACTTTCATGGTGAATTTGCTTTTTTAGACATTACAGGCACAACTACATGGATGAATATAAAGGGGCACTCCACCAATTTATGTACAGAAGTCATTTTACAACCATTGAGAGCGAGATCCAGCAAAAACAAACAACTGCGTGGTGTTTTGTGTGACTCTGGGGGAAAGTTTTAGGAAATGGCTCTGCCTGAAAGCTCCTCTTTGACAGAATCATTGAATACTGGGAGAACTGGGAGTCATTAGTTTGAAATATGTTCGAATTTGCCATCCACAGAGGTTGCTCTGGAGTGGCATAATGGGGAAATTTGGGATTGCATATTTTAAAAGCTTGTGAATGTACAATCAGGATATTTCTGTCTGTGCTGCTTTAATTCTGACTCTATTATTATCTGTTATTTGAGGATATATAGAAACTTGAAATAGAAGTAAAATCAAGTACATGGAGAACAAATCTAATGAGATTAAAGATTAAGATGCAAAATAAAGAGAAACAGAAACAGTTGGGATTTAGTTTCCCAAGGTGGGGTCCCAGAAGGCGCCACATGGTGGGTTATCAGATAATTACTGAGGCTGGAAAAAAAGAAAGAAACATAAAGCTTAACAGAGTGAAGCTTCTTTTGTCGTCTATTCTCAAATCGTATCTTTTCTTCAAGCAAAATATAGTCCTCACAGTGATGGAGTTATTCAAATGAAGCACTCTGCAAGGCACACAGATGAAGACTCGCTATGATGAAGGGTCAATGTCCCGCATTAATGGGGGGTGTCACAGCCTTAGAGAAATTCAGGTCTATGTGCCTCGATTGACTGATTTTGTGACACTGAAATGAAACTTTTGATGAACCTTTTTCATGAGTAGAAACTTCATTTGGGTTCAACAAGTCCACAATGTGTAGTTTGTGTGCAACTGTGAAGCTCTCTCTACCTTAGTCAGTAGCAGTGCAACCAACTCACTCAGACTCACACTGCCCACCTAGAGCAGCACTTTCTGTCTGATAGTTATCAGTCCTTTGAGTAAATCTTTGGTTTGTCTTATTTTATATTTGCCTCAGTCTCAGTTTGGATTACATGCCGGTCAGCTGGTGTTGGAGAGCAAGAGTCAGCCGTATTAGGAATGCTGACTCAAATAAGATTGATGGAACTGTAAGATGACCTACTGCTAGCAAAACTTACAACCGTAACATCTTCAAAACTGGAGAAAAGCTTTAAAAGCCAATACTGCTACGGATACTTAAGATCGGGGCTGATGTCGATAGCGAACTGATGTTGTTTTGTTTTTGCATTACTTTTTGCGTCTGGTTTTTACATGATCAAAAACTGTGGTTTATTTAAATAGCTGCTTGTCCTTCCTTTAAAGTCCCCCTTTTATGTCTCACAAACTGCATGACGCTAATCCTTCTCAGACACCAGGACTATTTCCATTTTTGGTCCCATTTTGGGAGGGTATGCAGCACAAGGTCGAGCTTGAACCTGCAACTGCTGCAGGGACTGTAGTCCCCATAACATGGGGTGCGATCGCCCACTTGGCCATCGGCGCGTCCCTGTAGTCAAGTTTAACGACTTACCAGAATGGAAATAGATGCTACAGGATGCAGATAAATATTGACTTGGCTGATGTTTTTCGCTGCTCGTCTCAAATGGACAATCAGGGGACTGCAGTTTAACATCCTCTGATATTGGCTTTATTTCCCCAGAGCAGAGGTTGTCACATGTTAAAGACCGACATTTGCATGACAGTCCTGTTATCAGTCCCCAGGATGCAGAACTGCTATAGTTTGCACTTGCATCACCAGTGCTGTGACACCAAGTGTCAAACATGACACCTCTTTGGGGACTGTTGGCTGCATGGCTGAGACACACATTTCACCATCATCTTCTCACATCTTGCACTCTTCTCTAATTGGACAGCCCACCTACACATTTTAAAAGATGTTGATAATGAGCAGCAGAGTGACTTTCTCTTTCCTGCAGTGAAAAATGTTGATATAAAACATGTTATGTTTTTATCTTTCTGTGTTTTCCTGCTAAGCGAGATGCTGTTTGGCTCTACCTGCTTTTATTTCTGACACCAACCTCTCTCAAAGCAAACCTCTCTTCCTCCTGTGAGAGCAGTTTGAGGTCACTCTCAGCCGACCAGCGATTTAACACTTCAAAGTTCTAGTTTGTCATGCTTGAATCACGTCATACTGTAATTTCACACGTCTACATGCGCACAGTATCTCAAGGAGGCACACACTCGGAGACCTCGCCGACTGATCAAAAGCTTTAAAATGGCTGTATATATGCGCAGCAGAGCATTGGTTATAGCCAATTTATTGTTCACACTTAATTAAGTGCATTCTCCTCCATTTCAGAGGGAGCTGTGAAATATTAAATAGGCCTGGGAGCTGGCCGGTCAGAAAATGAGGCTAAAGAACCCTCTGTGGATCTTTGCTTGCCCTGAATACTCCCCCAACCAAGCCCTTACCACTCTGTCCTCAAAAACACAGGACTCAGACGGCATCAGTGACAGAATGATTCAAAGCTCTCAGCTGGAAGTCGACTCTCGTCTCAGATCCAGACGCTCGGTTCACTCGGAGTCTTCAAGGCAGGTGGCTTCGACACATGTTTGCCCAAAAGCTGAACAAAAAGATACTTTGAGCTCTCCAACTGTGGTGAGAGCAACTTAAATTCAGTTGCTGCACAGTCAGGGCTGGAAAACAGTCTTAGAAGGTGATTCGTTTGGTAGATAGACTGCTGGGACAAGGCTGAACTTCACAGAGCCTGCTGGAGGTTTGTGTTTGTTTTACTTCGAGTTACCAAGATCTGAAGCTTCCCTTTATAAATAGGCTTCACTCCAGACTCACCAACCTTTTTCCCAGGGCCAGGAAAGATTTTTTTCCTTCCCTTTCTGATTGGTGATATGTTGGTGCCGTTGCAATGAGCCCCCTGCAGCAGAATTGATGACACGCGACACACTGTGCAGTAACTTAATCTCCATCAACTCCAGCAGGGTCAGTCACAATCTCATGTGAATCAAAGCTTTTTTTCCACACATTCATCTGAGGCTGGGCGATAAACCGAAAATTTACTGATACCGAAATTTACGAATGATATTCACAATCAGGATTTGATCTTGACCAAGACACATACGATGACAACATTACCCCAACTTGACTCAAACACTCCTCTGGTGACTCAAAGTCCAGGTTTGGTGACTCATCTACAACACTTCTATCACATCCACTCTTTTGTGGAGAGAATGAACAAACACAGGACCTGGATCTGAGCAAGATCTAGGTCAAACCCATGTCCACAGTTGGATAGCACTAACCTTAGAAGTTACATAACTGTGGCCTCACTTCTCTTATCTACAGTTTAAGTAAAAATAACTTTCACTTTAACCTTTTCTCTAAACCTGAGCAGTTCTGATGTCTAAACCCAACAAAACTGGATGTTTTTTGTTTGGTAGGGGCCCCACATCCGGCCAACTGCTTGGCAGGGTTTATGATAAATGTTGTTTGGCTGAAATGTTCCCAATAACAACCTTTGATTTTATACCAGAAAAGGACTTCAGGTTGAAATAAAAGAGCTCTGACTACAGCCAGGAGCAAAATCAGCCGTCACCACACAGAGCTTTTATTCTTACTGACACTAAAAGGTTTTGTATTGCAACCTCTAAATATGCTTATACTAAAGATATCAATCAACTCAACTGTGCCTGATATAAGTCTGCATTTTGACTCGTTTTGTTTTATGCTCCCAGCAGAGCAGTCGGCATCAACACTTAAATCAAAACGCTATTAGGATCCAGAATTATGTCTTGTTTTTGAAGCTATGTGTTTTTGTCCCCTACGCCACACCGTACTTAAACTGCTACAACATATTCCTGTTTCTTGTATATAAAACAACAATATCACAGAATTTCTGAATGACACTTTTCTGTCAAACAGAGTTTAAATATCATCAGTACTTTGATTTTAAACTATCACCTATAAGGTTTGCACGTAGGAGCAGCTTATCACTCTGGATTACAAAGAACATTAAGCCAAACAAGTCAAACTTTATTCAACTCATTCAATAACTCTGCATGGCTACGGTAGCTGCAGTGCTCCGACAAGCCAAAAGGATTTTCAGTGCGCCTTATAGTGTGAAAAATACAGTATATCGACCTGCATTTAAAATCTCTGATATCAGCACTCCGATACAAGCAGTCCATTCCAGACTCCACTCCGGCACCTTTTGCAAGCAGCGCCCAGACCCAGCATGCAGAGCCCACGTGATCACAAGAACAGTGTGTACTAAAGTACAAACAAAGTAGCAAGAAGTAAGAGTGATGTCGGCTGTATGGCAGTATTTTTCGTTTAAGTCTGAAAGAGACATTGCAGCTGAGTGCAAAAGTTGTCATGCACAAGTTTGTGCCAATATCAAATCAAATATCGGTCGATACTGAAGGCTACAATATTGGTACCGTATCGGAAGTAAAAAAGTTGTATCGGGACACTCCTAATAGTTTTCCCCCTGTTTCTTTGCATTTGTTTATGAGTCTTTGTTTGTTTGACTGAAAAAGCAGACAACACTGAGAAGAGGTGAAATGTTTCCAGTCTGATCTGTGCATAAAGATCTGGACCAGTCTCCTCAGAGCGCAGATCCTTATCCTAAAACGACGTAACCCAGGTCTTTGTCCTTTGTCCTTTATCTAGATGTCCCTCTTCCATATCTCATACCGAAGAAATAAAAACAACTCGCTCCTTCCTCCGCAGCCTCTAAAGGCTCGTACAGTGATGAAAGAACAGGCGACAACAGCATCATTTTCCTCCCTCTGTTTTAATATGTGAACAAGTCAAGTCAGAGCAGAGCTGTCGCCGAGCAAGACGTTGCATCTATCATCGGAGTCAGACTCAGTGGGAAGCTAAAATGATTATAGATCAGCTGTCTTCAGAGTTCATTACTGATATGATGAAGAGCATCATTACTTCACTGCATCTGAGAGCCGGCGGCAAACCGTTCTCTTTCTAGATTTAAAAGCAGGAAGAGAAAAGATGGTCGTGTTGAAAAAATGGTGGAAATCTGAGCCTCATCCAACATTTAGATGAAAAAAAATCAGCCGATGCGAAACTAATACTCATGGTAAATGTTCATCTATGTTGTCAGATGAATTTCATGCTATCAAGCTTGTGCACCTGATTCAAGGAGGAGGAGGCTAAAATCATCATTCATATTTTCGTCATTGTTGACCTGCAATGTGAAATGGGTCATATGTTGTGTCTAAGCTGTAACGCAGCCATCTTCCACTAGTTAAAACTGATAGTTCCATTTAATGTTTGCTGCCACAGTGCTCTGATGCTCTACGACCAGGATGAAAACAAGCACAGATGATAGGTGACACCTCAGTGCGGCATAGTTTAGCAGCATTTTAATGAAGAAAGTTGAAGTTGAGTTACATTTGTACATAACCACCTGTTAATCTCTCAGCAGATACTCAGATCCATGTGATGTATAATCTATAAAAGTTACAACTTAATATAAAAAAGCAGAAATAGAGAATTTTTTGTGTAAAATATGTTATATTGGTATGAATTATCTGAAGCATTTGAAGAAGCTATTCCCTCTCCTAAATCTGGCATTCACTCCTCTGTAATCAACTTGAAGTTCACTTAACTGAGGATGAGTAAAATTCGCTTTAATTCTCTGAATAACCTTTCTGAATTCAGATGCTCATTAGCATGCAGAGAGGAGAATCTGTCCTTCCATCACGCTGTGATTAAGATTTGATCCGGTTGCCTTCCCCGCTCTAACAGGGTGTTCTTGTCAGACTTATTAGGATTTAAATGCGCGTGTGTGTGTGGTTTTTGTGTATGTGTATGTGTACAAGTGTGTAGAAAGAAATAGAGAGAGTGAGAATGAGGAAGATAAAGAAATGGGAAATGATTAATGAAAATGACAGGACAGAGCAGAACGACTGCACAGTGTGATAAGCAGAGTGCAGAGAGCAGACAGACGTGTCCTTCTGCTCCATGTTACTGTAACGTTACATCTCGCTGAGCAAAATGTAAATGTAGGAGTGCCTGTCTTTAGGCTGGCTGTGTCCTTTAGCAAAGGGCGGGAGGACTCAGGCTAAAGGTGAAAACAATCGAGAAGAAATCTTTAAATGCCTGTTTTATTTTTTTAGGATAGAGCAGTTTTGAACCTGCTGTCATGGAGGTTAAAATAACCAACTCTGAACTGCTGCTTCAGATAGTTACTGTTGAGGTGAATCCTGTCCTCTTATTAAGTTGAATCTAAAGTCCTGAGGTTTTCATGACTTGGTATATTTTGTATCGATCTAGAAAGAATATCTCACTGTTAAAAAAAATGAAAAATTACACAAGTGATAATGTTAAGTGAGTGGGTGGTTTATAACTATTAGGATCCTGACAGGGTGAGCAGGACCCTGACACAAAGAGGATCTGTTTTCTCTGAACCTAAGAGGAAACTTAGTAAAGATAAGAAGAATAATAATAATAAGAAGAACTTTATTAATCCCTGAAGGGAAATTCAATTGTCTGTTGTCTCACTTGACATGTCTCCAAAAGTTATCTACTATTTACACAAGAGTTATAAAGTCTGATGGCTGTTGGTACAAAAGATCTACTGAATCTTTCTGTAAAGAAAAAGTTCTTCAGTTCTCTGTCTCAAAAGAGCTTTGCAAATGTCAAAACTGTTCAACCTTTTGTACACTGTTGCTATTTTCACACTGTTACACTTGAAACCTAACAGCTTGAGATGAGGATTGATATTTTTTGCCACAGGGTCAACAAGCGGAGGTGAATTGTTCAATCTCTTTTTACCGCCTGGTGTCATTTGATATTAGTCATTAAGTTGCTTCAGGTATCCCTATTGCCATAGATAATTAGTAAGCATTATTTGGAGTCTTAACCAATTAGAATAGAGTATTTAACTCAATGAGGTGATAAATAATTGCAGCGTTACTTAATCCTAAGGCTATAAAAACCTAAAAGTTAATGTGAAGTCAGTTGAGAATAAGCAACATTTGAATCCAAGACCAGTTTTTCAGAGCAAACATTTCAGTCTATTGGATTGTCATGTAACACATTGTATCATATCCTGTTGTATCCTATCCTATCCTAAGACCTCTCTTGAACCATGAAGGAGGATTACTACATGTTGAAATCTATTGGAAGCTCTGGGCAATATATCCAAAAGCAGTACCAGACTTCTTTGTCGGTACCTTTCAATATCAATATTTCATTCCATATAGAATTGACAATGCTGTAAGTTTTAAAGTATCCCCTAAATTATTAAAAAAAGGGGGTTATTAGTCAAACGTGATGACTTGTCCATAAACTTAATGATGTGCATTGCTGATGACCTCTGACTATCATCTGTCGTTGCTTTCTTGTCATGTGACAGGCTGAATAAACCATATCTATATCATTTTCTAATACTTATCATCATTATCAAGTTGAATTTCACGGAGGCACAATTTTGATGATGTTTGTCATCCAGTCTGGACTAATTGGGGCAGTACCATGATATAACTGTATGAAAGGATTTCAGTTCACAGTGAAATCACACACTCGTTGTCTGTCGTTATGTCGAAGTTGTCTCACATTATCTGTTTTCTTTGCATTACCTTTATAACTGAGATGTCTCATCCCCTCTCTAACTCCAGAAACCAACAGAAACCTGATGAGTTTATTTCCTTGGAGGTCTTTTCTTTTCTCCGGTTCTGTCTCTCAACTATACAGCTAACTTTGTCAACCTTATTTAGAGCTTTGATCCGCTTGAAGCGTTTCTTCTTGCTGTCAGCGGTGCTGTAAAGCAGTGTCTCCTGTTCAGACGGTGCCTTTGTGCTTCTGTAAGAACTTGTTCCCTGATGGTCTGCTCAAACAAAAGGTCTTTTCTGGACTGTAGCCAACACGTCTCAGCAGCTGTTGGCTTGTCACTTGCATTTTCTACAAACCTGCACCAATTATTTCATGCATCAGGAGCTGCAAGCTGTGTAAATGATATTGCAGAATTAGTGTTTCTTGCTCATAACAGGAAAGACAAAGAAACCTGCTTTTAATAAGCAATTGAACACATTTTTAAGAAGTCACCTTCAATCAACTATAAATACCAGTCTGTTTCAAAGCAAGCCCCGAACTCATCTCATTTATCCATCCGAGGAACCGAGTAGGTGGAGTTGGTATGATAATAAGGTACTGTGTTGATTGGCTGGCTGAAGGTTCACTAAGGGGGGAGGTACAGGCAGACGTAGAGGTGGAAAAACCCCAAAATGTAAATGGTGAGTGCTCCAGGAGAACAAAAGTGTGTTACTGCATGTAGTTGGCCTTGGCAGTTGACACAAATTATCACCAATCTCTGGTCCGACAGGCTCAGGAGACCAAAATGATATATTGCCATTATGATTAAAAAAAGTTTTCCGTAAAGACTGCGAAGTTTCAGGAAATATCCACATAAACACGAAACCTCTGAAAACGATGTATTGCATATGCCAAGCCAGTAAGTGGCGCTGTAATGCTGCCCCGGAAAGGCACCAAAAGACAAAAGTAGAGTACAGAGCACGTGCCTTCAAAGAATTACGCTGTGAGTGTCGTGATCCTTCAAGATTCGGATCCCGACAGGCATCTACACGGACACAAACAGTAGTCGTTAAGCGATTTATGTACTCTGGGACCCACTTTAAAAGGCATTGTTTACAGTCACCCAAAACGCTGTTTCCATGTGGACAAGGCCACTGTGATGGGGCAGTAAATAGATCTTTAAATTGTTTTTACAACCAACAACAGAGTGGTTGGTGTGTCCTGCTTTAACCTTTAACATCTTGACTCTTCAACTTTGGAGTAAAACCAAATATCAAGAAGGAAGCATTCATGTTTCATGAGTGGGCGTTGAAGCTCCACATTCTCAGGGCTGCTAGGCTAAAGGATGAGTAAAGTGTACATTAATAGGCAAGGAAGTGTGTATTTCATTTCAAAGGACCTTTAAACGTGGGTATGTGATGTTTACTACTATCACATATGAGTGATTCAAGTTCTCAGGGTTTGAGTGGAAGCTCTCGGTGGTAGACTTGACTCGTTTTTTTTGCCATGTACTGCCCTTTCTCCCCTCCTGAGTGCCTCTGTGATGGTTTTTGTCCCCATTAAAAGCGCCCTGCATGTCTCACCATGTGAAGGCCTTTTATGCCACAGTCTGTGGGCGGATTCTTTGATCTGTCCGGTCTCCTGGGTGGGTTTGGGGAGGATTCACCGGAACCTGCAGGGAGTTCAGGGGCTGCAAATAAGACAGTTTTCTGTTTTTAGTGAGGCTTTGGAGCAAATGCTTTGTTGTGTCTTTGTGTTTTGAAGGTATGTGCGGAGGTGATTGTATTGTCTCCTTTGTTTATGTGCAGTATTTTTTGTAGTTTGGTCTAATGGCCTGCCGCTCCGTTCAGAGACAGAAAGAAAAGGGAACAATCCATCTTCAACATGCAGGGTTATTACTACAGTTATCAGACAAAAGGAACAATAAAAGCGAAGGTGGAAGAAATGACTTTACAGCCACAAAATCGTTTCTATGAATAAGATTAGAAAAGGGTTTGCAACAGCTGCAGGATATAAGTCTACCTGCAGCTACTTTAAAGCGTATTCAGACCAAGAATGATTGGATATTGAGTTGAAGTGGACAAAGCGTCCCTGTGCAGATAATCGTGATGCTTATTATGATCAAAGTTGAGTGGCTGAAGTTTGAAGGGTTTAACTGAGGACCCTTATTGAGGAAGTCGACTCAGTTTTCATCCATGTGCTGGTCTAGCCCCCATCTGGCTCCCTCTGTGAGGGTGATTGTCCCAGTATGAAGCCAGGTCACCATCAGGACATGGTTTTACTTTGATCTGGTCTCAGTGGTCTGTGAGGGATGGATTCAATGGAAGCCAAAAGATGGTTGGAGACAGTAAACAGAGCACTTACCCACAGTTTGGTTTGGATGTGCTCAACAAGTGTTTCGCAATATTTGGGTTGTCTGTGTGCCAGAAATGAGTCCGAATTCCAGCGGTGTCTTTTAAGAATAAGATGTACCCAGAACTTAAGTACACAACGATGCCCTGAAATGACACAGCTCTATTTTCCTTTTCTGTACATAAGAGCTAAGAGCTAAGTGCTAAGATGAAAACAATTCAAGACTGCAGATTTTCTCCTAACGTCTCTGTGATTCTCACAAATGACTTTAAAATGAACATTTAAGCATCCGTTTCTATAATTGCCACTTGCTCTTGATTTAAATGTTCTGATTTAACTTTCTTACACAGAAATATTTCTGCCACACTCATTTTCATATTTGTCTCCTCAGTTTCTTGGACTTGGATTCGATAAATGAACCATATCACAAAGCCTCCCCTCAGGACAATACAGTCAAGTTGTTAAGCCTCAGTAATAAGACTGCATGATAACCACACATGACATTATATTATGGTTAGAAAGAGTGTTAAATGTTACGAGGGTGCCCATGCTGCTGTTTGTTAATGCTAGCATTATGGCGCAGGTTTGCGATACTGTCAGTCTGGCAGCTGATGCAAGTATCCTGTTTTTCAACACTGTGTACAGACGGACTGTCTTTGGGAAAGTTTTCCCACCTTCATTGAAAGTCAACGTGAATCTTTCTGAAGCGGAGACTGTAGATCTCCGATACTATTACTTCCTCGTTGTGAGCTTACTAATGCTACCAAAGAACCAGTTACATAAGCTAAAATTGTTGTGAATGTTAAAAAGACAAAGTTTGAGTCTCTATTATAAGAGTCACGCCATCATAGTGTCTGCTCACTCTAGTGTAACTAGTTCTAGTATCTTTTCTCTGTTGTAGTGCTTTAAGTAGTCGGACCGGTGCATTCAGCCCATATTTCATGGTTTTAATTTCCAAATTGCACAGGAAACAATTGTTTCAACGGCTAAGCAACTAGAATAATGAAGCTGGTATAATGTCCAACAAGCAGAGACAGATGTCTTCTCCAGCAACACACCTGTCTGTCAGTTTAGACAAGCGTTTAGTCTTTATGTTTCCAACGACAGCCAACAAAACACCGTCTGTCCTTGGCTCTCAAGTACAGCAAGTGAAAAGTGTTTGTTGTGTTTTTGCAATGTCCCTGCCAGCTCAGCTGTCAATCAAAGACATGTACGGATGTGCCCACTCACTCAGAGGGTTGGAGGCTAAAGAAGCATTTCTGACGCAGATTCAAAGACTCAGTTATATATTTCCAAAACAACTAAATTCAAGCTCCTGATTGTTTCTTTTTCATGAATGCTGGGTTTTCTTTTTTTTCAGTAGCATACATCCTCATGCAGAGAAACAAAAACAAGACCAGTTTTGCAAAGCTTTACTCCAATTTGCCATTTTAAAATTACGATATATTGAGTCCAAATAAAGTGTGCATATGTTAACTCCACAGATTTGTAACAAACCACATTTCATTTTGTGTATATTTGGGGTGGACTGGCCCTTTAATTGAGGATTTGGTCTTTTTTTTATCATTTCAGACCTCAATCACAGAGTCAGCAGAAAATGCCACAATGCCGGATGGAAAGCACTTAATCCTCAGTTTTGTATTGTCTCAAAACAATATGTCACAGCGCTGCTAACAGTAAAAAAAAAGACACAAAACCTTATAGTCGATATGAACGCAGCAATACTTGCACTGAGATAAGGTCAAATTCCCAACTGTAGAACCAATTCGACCACAAGGGCACTCAAGTATGTCACAGTTTCAGGGACAAAACTGTAAAATTGGAAATGACACAGCTAATAAGGAGCAGATAAGAAAATAGAGAGAGGAGACGGATAGAGTTTGGGTGAGCAGTGTGTCCACTAAAGCTGGGTCAGCACCTGAGCTGATACTGGCAGGTGAGATCACCATGTGTGACAGGTTTCTGACACAGAGGGTAAACAAGTAGACGTGTACACACACATGCTCAGATAGCAGGTATATACTCTGCTGCCCACACACACAGTTTGGAACAAGCAGGTTTGATGTAGGGACGATCTGTTAAGGACGTGTTGCAGTCAAGTCCAGCAGAAACATTTCAAGCGGACCCAAGATGTTAAAACAGCCCCCGCATCTCTAAACAGATCCACTTCCCCTCCCCCGCTGTGATACAACAGCAGGGGAAACAGTGGGAAAAGGGGCCAGCTGCATACATTATTGGACATTTTCTGATTTCATATTTTCTCACTGAGAGGATTCAGTATATGTAAAAGCTTTTCAGGAAATAAAAGGCGTTTAATTACAGGTATTAAAGGTTTGTTGTTGGCTTTTCTCCAGAAATGAGGAGGAGCACATTGACTAAGTGTCATCTAAAATCAAACCAGAGCTTTACTTATCTTCATTTGTTATGTTTTAAATCTCTAATCTACATTATATTGATTAAGTATTATCTTACTATCTGAAGTGACATGTGCTTTTATGATACTGAGTGCTTTCCAGGTTGATTATACTGGATAGGCAAAACCGAGTGGGGACAAGAGTTGAAATCAAAAACACAATAATAAAATTACAAGACCTGTATTGGTTAACAGTTAACAAACTGTGCAAATCCAGTCAGGTGAGAAGAGAGGGTGATATGGTTGAAGTCTCCTGATATTATGACTTGCCTCAGAATGTTTAGTCTGTTTCCTAGCAACAGTTTCATGGAGAACATCACACGGAACTTCAGCCGTTGCCTTGAGTGGGATGTATACAAGTATCGTTACGATATGACTAAACTCCCTCCTTCCTCCCTATCAGGCAAAAGTTATAAACTCTCAATTTCATACTTTTTATTGGAACTAGACTTACATGCATTTTCCATTTAACATAAAATAAACTCAGTGGAGGAGATAAACCAGTGAGTGACTTATGGCACATACCAATGTCTGGCTGAGTGAGAACATTTAAGCTGATGGTGTTTCCAGATATTGAATCTTTTCATAATCATCATCTTGGCACAACAAGTGTTCAAACTGTATTTATATTGTAGGTCTAACCTCAGCTGTTAGTGGGGTATTCCTTTGGTGATGCGTGGTTGTTGCAGGTTGCAGCAACCATTAAAATGCCTCTGTGCTCATCATGAGTAGGTTTTGAGCCATCAGTTTTGCTCTGCAATTAAACTTTTAGCACTGAGAAGGAAGTAACTCATGCTCAGAATAGTGTCATAGTATTACATGAATAGGAGTTAAAGTCTTGATATTTTGGGAATTAAGTCGTAATTTTAAGAGTTCAAAGTTAGGAGAAAAGTCCTAATATTTTAAGAATAAGGTCAGAAATTCAGATACAAAAAAATACTAATAAATTCACAAAATTAAGCCATGAAAAATTCCATAACATCACCAGGATGGAGACATAATATAAGAGGAATAAAGTCAAAGTGAAGTCATTATATCACAGACGTAAAGTCAGAATATGGTAAAATTAAAAGTGATAGTTTGTCCTGTGCTCTTTTGTTTTATACAGTCGTGAAAGTATGAGGCATAAAAACTTCTTACTTGAAATCTTGATTCATTTTCATCCTCCATGTGGCCCTAAAATTCAGTCATACATTCTGACCTCATTTACCGTCCTTAAAACTTTCATTGCCTCAGTGCACAACTTCACTCAAAACGCTATTTATTTTCCAGCCATGCAGAATGATTGCTGTTGAGCAAACACTGATATATCAGGGTACAATGTTCTGTCAACACAACAAGCCCTGTTTGTGTTTCACCTGCACTACAAAGCAGCCTTCCTTGTGACAGGGTTGTTTGTCAAAAATAGTCTGATTTGCATGAAAATCCCCGACATTGAGGAAGACGTCAAATCCCCCTGAAAAGACTGCAGCGGCAAACTAGACCTCACTTTTAATGCTGACTTTAGAGTTGAAAGCAGAAGCTTCGGGAGGTCACAACTCTGTTTGCTGTTTTTGATGCATTACGTTTGTTTAATCTCCGCTTTTTTAGGCGGGATTTTTCAGCGGGAGAAACCCAAAGAGTGTAATCTCTGACAAAGACTCACTGTCAGAGGTGTTTCAAATATATGCAGGTGCAGTGGGTTTGGAGAGTGATGCAAGTCTAGGGAGTTACTGTTTGCCTCTAAGAAGGGTTTTCATGCAAATAACAGTCAGTTTTCATCTCATATTCATACATTGTTAATTACAGTCTGCTCTCTGTATGGCATGATATTATCTTTTGTTATGTTCCAGGGACTTTATATAGAGCTAAATGTGACTTTAAGGGTTTTAAGTGCTAATTCCTTCAAAATACGAAGCTAACTTTATCTATTTCTGAAAGAATCCTCCATATTTCCTGATATGATCTCTTATCTTGTTTAGACTTTATGCTGTGTTGTCATTTCAAACTCAACCTGCTGCTTTGACACAGTCCTATAGATCTAAATCAATCAGAGCAATAATCGAGTCTACCCAATAATATTTGATTCATTCCCTCTAATATTACAAATCATCTTTTAGACCAACACATCTTATATTTGTTAGATATTAGCTTTACTTTGAGGGGGAACTATATTGGGCAAAATGTATTACTCACAAGCTCTATTACAACCACAGCTGTCATTCTCTGCACGTGATTATAAGCAGCTGCCTCGCTGCACAAATCATGCTATGATATATAGATGCACAGTGATGCAGACAATTTCACCACAATAGAGGGTGCATACATAACCTCACAATTCAGTTACTGTACGCTGAGCTTAATATCTGTATGGGTAGCATGCAAGAGTGCAAACTGTACTTAGTTTAAGAAACAAATGGTACAAGAAAAAGCCACTTTAATGCTACAAGAATTGTTCCTCTTTCTCAGAGAGACCCCAAAAACAGATCCAATCTGGCTTTTCATTTAAGTTCATACGAATAAAGTAACCTGAACCAGAACCCTAACCTTCAACCTTAACCTTTGCGTCAACAAACATGTTTTCATTGAAGAATTATGGAGGCAGAGTGTAATGTAGATTTTGAACGAGGCTGAAATGATTCAAGAAGATAGAAGAAAAAATGTTAGAAAAGGAAAACGTGCCTTTTAAGTCAGCTATTGTTCATACAACATTGAATGCTGTGGCCACTAAAGCATGTCACATCCAAATATATCAAACCCTGCTTTCATGTAGTGTGTAGTAAAAGAGACGGAGAGTGTGGTGTGGTGTGTTGTGGTCAAGGATAGAGGGAAGAGTTGAGTGACATGGTAAAGTGGATAATTCTGAGGGTCAAAGAGAGATGATGAGAGGTCACGAGTCGTTTCGAGCCGTGACCGTGGGGGTGAACGTTCAAGGTGAAGGGAACTTTGTACAATCTTCTCTGCCTGGTTCCTCTCATACAAAAGCGAGAATATGAGGTGGAAAAAACAGAGAATACTTGTATACACTGTGGCTTTTCATGTGTCAGAAAACACTGATATCCAGTTAATACTTGGTATTAAGAGCATCTTGAACCGGAACCATGTTGTCTCTGCTCTCTACTCCATGTCTCTGAACTGATCCTAATTCATCCTCAGCAAACACTGAGTGTCTGGTTGCCATGACAGCAGCTCTCCCCGATGCTGGATGAAGCCATGTTTTCATAGATGTAACTAATTTCACTCTGGCCCGCTGCGGGATCATTAGAACAACAGAACAGCAGATCCAAACTCCGCTTTGGTATTTCCACTAAAGGTCAGCGCACTCACGATATGTGTTACGAGAGGAGGCAGACCAAATGTGAAGCTGTGTGTGATGTATGGTTTGGACTTTGCAGAATCAATATGAAGACTTCTATAATGTGCAGAGAGGGATGGATGGAAGTGGCAGAGCAAAATAACACAACAGGGCTCAGGAGGAGGAGGAGGGAGCACCAAGAAGGAAAACTAAAACTTTGTAGAAGACAGAAATAGAGAGAGTGTGCAATATAAGTGACAAATGTTTGGTTTATTTAGAGTCTTTTTGGACTAAATGTTACTTAATCAAACTCAGAGAAAACTCATTGAATGATATAATTATATTTTTAGAGAAATAGAGATTTTGTGCCATCAAGTTCGAGCATTGCAAGGCTCCACAGTAATAACACATTTGCTGTGATATTCATTATATTTCAAAGGAAATGTTAAATCCAAACTTGAATATAATATAATTCACTCTCTTTTTGTTGTGGTTCAAGAGTTGAAGAGATTAAAGCAAACTACAAATACAAATGGATCTCTATTTATTGGTTAAGCTGGTCAGACACATGATATATCCCTGATGCAAACACCTCCTCTTTATGGCGTACACAAACTCAAACCTGTTCTTTACTGGCAAAGTAAAAGTCCCAACACCATCGCTCTTGCCTGCTAGAACACAAGTCCTTGATATTTCTGTAGCTGGAGGCCTGGCATGCTGGTCATGTGTTCAATCTAAGTTCTAGCAAGGCCACATGCCACCAGCCAGAACAACTGCTCCAGCTCCAGGTGAATGTCATATAGCTTTAATGCTCCACTAGGGCTGGGTGATAAACCGAAAATTTACAGATACCAAAGTTTACGACAATAACTGACGTAATTTGGCCGATGTCAATATCTTCGTTGTCAAAAAAGTAAATAAAAAAAAGGTTGGTTTTACATGACCCTACCCTATCCGGTCCGTAACAAAGAGGGGGTAAGCAGTTTGTTGAGTAGTTATCATCCATTTATTGTTATTGAGGTGATTCAGTTGAGGCCATATCGCCCAGCCCTATACTCCCCTATATGGATATAGACAAGCACAGATGGCTGATATCATCTTATAGTGTGGAGTGGTTTGAGATAAAGATGCATCTAGGCTTTGTCTGGTTAACTCTACCTCAGTCATGCATAGTCAGCACAGGTATGGACGATACCCTATAAAGGTAGACTATTGGTGGTGCTAGCTCTGCTATTGTTAGCCAAGCTCAGGAAAGCAATTTTGAAAATATGTTGAATTTTGACAGATTTCTGAAGGTTTTCCCACCCTTAGGCTTGAATTTAGGGACTAAGCACTTAGTCGCGCAGCAACATTCCTACTATCTACTATGAAATTGAGACCCCCCTGAAACAGATGGGCGAGTTTCTGATGTAGAAATCTTCTCCTTTGGGTGTGATAAACCAGGAAATAGTGGTGCTAACTTGCCTTTGAATGATCTAAACACGCCATTTAAACCTTTTTGTGGCTTTTTAAACACTTTTTTGGTTTCAAACAGGGGCTTTGAACGGTTGTGAAGCAGTTACTGACGTTGCTGTGTATTAGTAGAACTGCTCTTGATGTAATTAATATTATTGATTTGAAATTCACAGGAGGACTGCTGCAAGTGTCGTACACAGTTAAAGGGTTGTGGGTGAGCGAGCAAACTTGGTCAATTACTGGCACAGACAGGCTTTTCTGTCAGCTCTGCTCTTTCTTTAAGACTCACCAAGAATTGTGTACACCGTGAGAAAAGACGGAGTTGAAATAACACTTGGAGTATGGGGGTGGCCATACAATGATCGCACGCTCAGCCTTTAGTATCAGATTCTGTTCTTGTGAAACCTCCATCCTGCATCCAAAGCCATCAGAACGCCTTCAGGAAACAGGTCAGTGAACAAAAGGAGAGAGAGAAGGAGAAAGAGAGACACAGAGAACTAGGGTGGGTGATGGGAGGAGGAGTGGGAGGAAGAGGAGGAAGAGGAGGAGGAGGGGGTCAGAAGTTGATAAGAACTGAGCTGCACTGTTCTTTTAGAAACCAGCTGCCGGAAGAGCTGCTCAAAGGCGGACAAAAACACTTCCCAGAGTGCCTCACTGGCCCACAGTGACACCTCCCAGAAGTCTTCTCTATCTGCCTCTCCAGAGCGAGGCTGAGAGCTGTTACCAAGGCAACGCCAATCTCATATACCTTTCTTACCAACAGAAAAACTACATGTTATGGTCTCCGGATTCAAGTTTTATCATCTCGCTTATATGACTTCCATAAAAACCTCTCTTAAACCAACATGTTTTGATTGATGGAGATTTCTAAAGAAAGGTGGAGCAGCAATATTCTGGAATTCAGACTTTTTCTCACTCACTTTGAAACCTCATTTTCAGCCTCTACGCTGCATAAAATGATGTTTTAAACTATGAATATTTCCTGCAGTGTAGAAAAGGGAACATGGCCGAAGTGTGTTACCCTGGCAACAGTCTACAGAGGCAATGAAAGCGGATCAGCGGCTGCAGACAAACCTCTTACAAGTTATAAAACACCGCCTTTCCTTTGTGTCTTTCACAGCGTATCGATAAATATTGTGTTTCCTGAAGTGTTAGCGCAGGTTTGAGCCTGATCGGGTCTTTTAAAACCTGTTAACCTACAGAAATCCTTTGGGAAAAGTGTGAATAAGAATCCAGCTGAAGGCTAAACATCAGTTTAATTGAGATGAGGAAAGAAGATGAAAGTCTCTAAATTGTTCTCATGTCGGAGCCGCGAGTGAGAAACGTCTCTGTCCGTTTTCTCTTACAGAGGTGTGATGATAAGAGAGCAAATACCGAAAAGGAAAGAGTCTGCAATGAAAAGACAGTTAAGGAAGACATCCATGATTAGATTAAGGAGCCTTTGTGAGCTGTCCTTGATTTACCTCCAGCAGAGCAGGATAGAGCAGACCAGCAGGAGAATTCTGAGAGGTCTTTGGATGGAGGTGAATACACCCAGGAGAGCTAAGACATGATGTTCTTGAAATGTTTGAAAAGCAGGACAGGCCGGAGCTGTTTGAGGAGCAGAGGTGAAATGAAATCGAAAAGAGCACCAGCTATTTTTCTGCACCACAAAAGGAAGGAGGACCAAATGGCCTCTGAAAGGACGCCTTAAAATGGCCTGTTATGGCTTTTTCATTCTAGAGGTGGCCGAGATAGCAAAGCAACACATTCTCCTTACTTGATGTTTTCTCCCCTAAAATACACGTAATGGTCAGATTTTACGAGACACTCTTGATGGCACTACATCACTCTTATTCCGGTAAAGAGGAGTTTGATTTGTGTTGATTTTGACGCCCCCTACGATCTCTCTGCTGACCTTGACAGACAATCTCTTCCTGCTCATTTTGACAGCGATCACATGAAATAAGGCTGTTTCTTTAGCATACTGTCAATCATTCAGCCAAGCTGCTGTTACAAGCTTTAAAAAAACTGTTTCACAACTAGTTAAATTTCTTCACAGTGGCTGTAACAGGAAGAGCGCGCACCTCCCCTCTCTGTTTCACTAGCATCCATTTTCTTCACTTTTTCCAACCTGTTGCAGCTGCGCATAAATCCCTATGTCTCTTGTATGATTTTTTGGAAAGCACTCACAAACCTCATATTCACGCTGTAATTTTGCAGACGTACAAGGTCAGAACGGAGCTGTGCGGGAACTATATCATGAACGTTGGCGTTAAGCTGCCTGCCAGCTGGTGACAGATCAGTTTTACATAAAATCCTCAGAGTCCAGAGGCCGTTCGTTTCTCTGTGGTGAGAACAGGCGTGTCGGAGGGGGTGAGATATCTAACAGGCAGCTCTGTTGGCTGTGACTGTGCTGCAGATGATCATCACCAGCACGGTGACGTGGTCTCTATGAGTGTGAGAGAGAGAGTGTGTGTGAGCATGTATGAGTGAGCGTTACACTGATTCATCACTTTGTTTCTGCTGGTGTCGGGGTGAATGTCCTTAAGTGTTATCCTCAGCTGGTTTTATATATGAGTATTTCAGTCGTGCTTCTATTCTGTAAAGTGAAGTTTTTTAGGTGTTTTTTTTTTTTAGCATAGTCATATATGGCTGTCCTGATACGATATTGATTTCAGATATCGGTCCAATATCAGCCAAAAAACAAATATGGGATTATATCGACCTGCATCTAAAATCTCCGATATCAGCACTCTGCTACAAGCAGTCCATTACAGACTCCACTCCGGCTCTTCCAGCTAGCAGCTCCCGGATCCAGCATACAGAGCCCATGTGATCACAACAACAGTGCGTACTAAAGTACAAACAAAGTAGCAAAGAGTGGGAGTGATGTCGGCCGTGTGGCAGTATTTTTCGTTAAAGTCTGAAAAGGACGAAAAAACTTGTCATGCACAGGTTTGGGCCAATATTGGTATTGGCCGATACTGAAGGCTACATTATCGGTATTGTATCGGAACTAACAAAGTTGTATCGGGACACCACTATAGTCATACATGGCGTAAACATCGCTAACATAAGAATGCTATCGTGATTATATTATGATCAAACTTTGGTGTTTACATCTGTAAACTGGTCTAAGCGCATTTGCAGGAATAAAAAGTGTTGATTTCACGCCAAACTTTCCCTCATCCTCTCATTAAGTTTGACTCTGATGGAAACCTCGTTAGGTATCGGCTGAAATTGGGTGTTTGTTATTAGTTGTTAATATATGCAGGCCTCATCTTTGATCAGTGACGGAGCAGTGATGTAAACAGTGGTTGGAGATGCCTTCAGTGGCACGCCGGTGAAAACGAGGTCAGCTAATTGGGACGACTAAATATAATTCAGAGGGTGCACCTTCTCCTCTGAAGGTGATACTGAGTGCCAGAGTCACTGCTGCGATAAATTTAACGCCGGCTGATAATGAGGTGATTAGGACCTTCTGATGACCACAGAGGGTCGAGTGAAGGCTAATAAACCTCTGATACAGCGTCTGATGAAACAACGTGTGAAGTTTTCACACACAAAAAAGTGTCTGCATCAGTCGATCCAAACTTTACACCGTGCAAACTTTAATAATCCACTATTTCCTATTAAATGCTGCAGGGTCTGAGCATATTCAGCTCTAACTACAGATTCAAAGAAACTTCAGTCAATAAAAAGTTTTACTTTGAGTCCAAATTTAAAGGCACAAAGACAGCAAATGTTTTTCCTCTGTCTGGGTGAACATTGTTTACGTTTTTCAGTCCTCTTGCAAAAGTTGGTCTACTTTTGACTCTACTGGTTCATAGATGTAGCTTTTGGGGACTTTTATGCCTTTATTGAAAGAGGATGGGGGGATAAAGCGGGAAACAGGGAAGAGAGAGAGGGTGATGACATACAGCAAAGCGCCGTGGGACTGCAGCCTCTACACATAGAGCATGCAATTTCACCCGTAAGCCAAACCAGAAGCCAAAAATGCAACAATTTAAAACCCTGAGGAGGAGCTCTGAGCCCTGCCAGCTCATCCAGACACACATGTTGTCTACAATGACCTACACACTATTGTCTTTAACTACAATGTTGGGATTACAAGTCCCTGAAGTCGACAGCGAGTTTATCTCATTTAAACATTCCCAGATTAAGTAAAAACTCAGTTTTTTTTCTTCTATTTTATCTTTTCAGAGCAGCTAAATGACGAAGCACTACTCGGTCCATACCACAGCTTACGGACCCGGCAGTCAGCAATAATAAGATTTGTTTCAACATTTTGCTCATGGCGCCTAATTAGAGTAACCTCATCAACACTGGAGAAAGATTTTCCCAGTCGCCTGTTATTCTTTCTTTCTTTCTGTGTTTGTGGGGACATTTCTGAGAGAAAATACTCCCTGGTTTCATTCAGGAGCAGTCAGATGTGACAGAAGCTTAATGGCTTTTTCCCCAGTCCTCACTCTTTCTGAAAGTTCCTCTTCCTAGCTGCCTTTTCTACTTTAATTAAAATTTCTAACACTCATAGACGCCCCAGTCAAATTCTCTCTCGGTCTTCATTGTTTGAGTAATTTTTCAGAAAGAAAATAAAAAAGAACTCCTGCATGGAGGAAAAGACACGTGTGATGTATTGCTCCTGGATGTGATTTAACATGCTTAGTAACATGTTGTCATGCTGTCTCGCTCCGCCTGCAGCACAGTCATGGCGATATTCAGCTCAGAGCGGTTTTAATCCCGAGCAAACTCAGCAAACTCACCAGACAGAGAAAGAGAGCAAGAGAGAGTCAGCAAAGGAAGACTTAGAAACATGACAATGGGTTTACTTGACACAAAGACAGAAGGAAACTCTACAGCTCTATTAGCTTCAGAGGATGGCATGCAGTGAGGAGGGGAGCTATTTTCACATTCTTCTGTGATTCTCTGATCAGAAAGGACGCTTCGTTTCTTCAAGGAAATGAAAATGAGCTTTGTCAGGCACAGATGGTTTTATAGCCAAACAGCCCCATGAAAATATGACGTAAACCTACAAAGAAGAGACTTTGATTTCACCAGCTTGGGCACATCATTCTTAGGTTTCTTTTACACATGCACAATTTATAAAAACTTTGAGTTGTTCTGCCTCCAAAATCCCCCAAAGCGGCTCCTCTATAAAAGTCCCTCACAGTGTGAAATCCATGGAGGTAGACAATGTTTGAGACACCGCAGGACACGACTGAAAAAGCATCAGTGCGGCATTTACAACATGGTGAGGGATGAAGCGACTGAGACTTTGCGACTTTGTGCAAATACACAGGCGTGCACTCATCCTTCTTGTTCTCCTCTTGTGAATAGTTGTCCTTGCACAACCTTTGTAATAATCATGTTGTGTGTTGCACCAGTTCTGGGCTATAAACATCATTACTCTGCCCACTTGTTTGCTGTTTATGGTCCTGATTATTCCCTTTCTTACACCTGCTCACTCCCACCTTCATATGAAAGTTGAAACAAGGGGGCTGACAGGAAAGATTCTGGGTCAAACTGGCTGTTTTATGGTCACATATGCAGCTTTACTTGAAAATTTTAGGTCGTTTTTAGAGTTTTTGCAAAGGGATGCAGGCAGGAAATATCAGACAAATGAGGACCCTCCCATGATATGCAATGATTGTATTGTTGCAGCAATAACCTGTCCAGACAAGGTACTGTAAAAACATTTCCATTGCTAACTGAATATCAAACTGCAAATAAACCAAAACGAAACAAAAAAGTTTGCATTCCTCTTAACACAGCAGAATACCAGAATGAAAATCAACATGTATATGGGGGAATAACCCTAATTTTAAACTGCAGTTGTGTTATGCTCGCCATGCTGTGAGGAAAACCTTGTGCACCAAAATCGCAGCAGCTTTGTTTTTCTTGATAGCTTGTCAGGTGGCCGTCAAATCATCCTGCAACTCATTTACTGGTTGAGCAGCTCTGCCTCGTCTTATTTTTCATAGTTAAAGGTCCTATAAAGAGTTTTTTGACATTATGAAACAGACTGAACTTCATATTGTCATCTTTTCATGATATCCAAAAGCAAACAGGAACATCATTGACAAGATTTACCTGATACTCCTGCATGATTGTTGACATTTTAGACATACTTAAGTGGGGCTGCAAATAATGACTTTTTCAATAGTCGACTTATCAGATCATTATGAATTTTTTCTTAAATCTAACATGAGGTTGCTAACTCTTGAATACACTACTGCTTGGCGGAGACACTATTGCACATGTGTGACTCTAGGCAGAGATCGTAACGAGGTAAGATGCCTCACTCCACTGGAAAAAACATGTCTGGAGACAATGGAATTCATTGTCGACTTTTTTCATTATCGACTTTTGTTGACAACGTTGACTAATCGTTGCACGCCTGTACTGAGGGCAAATCCTCAACCCTAAAAGTAGATGAGAATAAAACATTGAATGCTGAGTCATTGTTCCGTCCCGTTTTTCCATCCAGTCAGCAGTTACCAATCATAGAGTGTGCCATGATATACTCCTCCCTCTGAAGAATTCTCCTCCTCTCCACCTAATTGTACAGAATAATTTCCCAGTTAGACTGTGACAGCTAACAGACGGCGGACACTTTGGGTTCTATTAACTCCAATGAGACAAAAGTGAAATGAGATTAGTGAGCTCTGATCTCTCTGTGACCACGGCTCCAGCCGCCGTCGCCTGCTTAAGTGATTAGAAATGGTGCTTCAGACTGACAGAGGTGGTCAGGCTGCTGTCAAAGCTTTGTCCCGGATGACTGTGATGTACATTATTGGAGCTAACTGGACAGATCCTTAAGATTTTGGAAGCACATCAATACTGGCGGTGGATGAAAGCTGGCCTTGCCCCTGCATATTTTGGCCCCTTTTTTTTTTGTTGAGCTCTGCATGTTTTTGGACTCTGAGGGGGGAAAAGGGCAGCGTGGGATGAAGAAGCCCCCAGGATGAAGCTTTTGATTCTGGAGTTCAAAAACCCCAGGAAAAGATGAAAATTGATCGATGGAGTGAATAAGTAACTCTCTCAGCTTTAAAAAAAAACAAAAAAAAAAACACTTGGTTCACTGGAGTAGAGAAGTCGGCCCACTTACAGAGGGATGGTTGATTTAGTAAAGTAGCAGCCGAGTATGGATTAAACAATTACCTCTGATTATTTTTCATTAAAGTGAAGTCAACTTAGCCCCCAAACTATGCGTCTGCTTGGTCTGACTGCCCACTCTCTGCAGTTATGGGAGTGAGCTCTGTCCACTGTAACTTTGCTGTTAAAAAGACAAAATATAAAATATAAAATACTAAATAACAAAGTTTAAAGGTGGGGTAGGCAGGATCTGAGGAAGTACCAGTTTTTAGGAGAAATCTTGAATGTAAACTCTACCTCTCCCAACCAGTTTTCCCCCCAGCTCCTCCTCTCCCCTCTGTCTCTGCTCCAGCAAACCAACAGACCCTTGTGCTTGCTCATATGATTCCAATTAAATTAGATATAAAATACTTTAGATAAATACAAAAGGGACCCAGTCAACATGAGAGTGAAAAGCATTGGTGCTACTGTAGATGCCAACAGACTACCAGCAAACACAATGTTTGCAGGACTTCTACAACTAGGATAAAGTGACATAGTCCAGAACCCGAGGTAAACAGTTTAGCGGCGCTACAACATGCAGCAGGTCCATGTTTGATAAGAAACACTTCTGTTACAGACACTTGGTTTACGTTGTTAAGGCGGTTTACCTGTCCAGCAGAAAGGTTACAGGGCCCGTAAGATCCCAAAACATTGTTTTATGTTGATCCGGCTTTTTAGCTCTTGTCCGGTCTACCTCCTTTTTAAGCGCCCGATATTCCGCCAGAGTCGCCGATATTTACTTTGTTTTCCTGCTTGTGTTGGCAGTCGTGGCTAAAGGAGGATTCAGAGCTATTCACACTTTCTGGTTGGTTTTTACTGTCCGATATTGTAGCACGCTAACTTTTGTTTGGGCTCATAAACGTCATTCGTGGAGCGTGCCTCACAACATGAGGGAGCAGTATCTGCCTCACAACCAATCAGCACTAAGGAGCAGCGTCCGCCTCGCAACCAATCAGGTCAGGGAGGCGGAGAATGGCTTTGTGTACCGTCAGATTTATCGGGACACTCAAAAATTTTTAAATGTTGATTACACAGACATAACAAAACACAGCGATATCGTTATATTCCCAAATGTCATCAATAACTAATAGCTATTGACTGATATTAAAAGCTTTTTTGTTTATACATAACAAAAAAAAATATGCTTTTTTAACAAATTTCTGCCTACCCCACCTTTAATCTTAGTGATCTACTCAGAGGGAGACACACAGGCTGACACAGAATCTCTTCTTTCATACTGAAGGTTAAAGCAGAGTCCGCCCAGGCCTTTGGGGTGCTCTACTTCAGCTGACACAATGTACCATCGTCTGTGCAGAAAATAAATTGGACTTTTAAATCAGGAACCGAGTGTGCCCCAAATAACTCCTCCAACTTCACGACTCTTTTGGAGAACAGAGGAATTTTGTTTAATCTAAGTTCGCACGGACCAAGCAGTCCTGTCTTTTTCAGCAGGGACAAAAATTTGAGACGAAGACCGAAAGCTGCAGCCTGCCTGATTCATTCACCAGAGAAAAAACTTTAATGAGCTGCTGGTAATTTGGACCCAAACTTCACTAATGAAGCTGCTCTGTGCTTAACCGTACAAGAAAGTAGCTGTAAAGAGCACTCAGTGTGTGTGAAACATTAAAGCAGGAATGAATAAATCGTTCCCAAAAAGCCTCTCCCAACATAGACGTTGAAGAGCAGAGCCGCCGTGTGAATCTGGTGATGGCGTTCCCTCTTTTCCGCGCATCACAGAGCACGGCAGTGACTCTTTCTGCTCTCAGCATGCAAACATTTCATCAATGACAGCTGCCACAGTCAGTGCAGAAGTGGCAGGATGCCTACAGCACTTAAACCAAGCTGGCTAATATCTGATGTATGGACCGCAGCTCCCTTTGTCAGCAAGAAATCCCAGTTATACCGCAGAAAAGGAAATGACTCATTAGTTAAATTACATTGGAGGACATGCGAGTCCGAGTCAATAAGCCTGATTAACTCACATTTGATCGATACACATTTACAAGCGACATGCCAATCTGCTGACAATGTTTGAGAAACGGCCTGCAAACTCAGGATTACTGAGACGCTTGTGTTTACCTCCGGTGCACAATGCCCTTTCTCTGCCCCGTGCATAATGAATACAAGAGGCCAGCGAAGGTACGTTATTGTATGTACCTGAGCATGAATTATTGAACAAAAGGGCTTCTGCAGAGTCAACAACATGTGGATGAAATACGAATAATTTAATGCTTTTTACTCAGTCATCAAAAATGTCTGGATCCTGCCAAGGCTGTTGTTTAAGTTTGAGGCATGAAGGGGATGTTTTACGGGAAACACACAGAAAGTCTGTTTTTACTTCTCACTCGTTCAATAAGGCAGCTTGTGTATCAAACGAACATATTCAAACATACACCAGTAAGACACCCTTTGGCATTAACCATCATTCGCACCGTTCGTTTTGACACAAACGGAGAATTCGCCCCTGAAAACGATGCTTTTAAAAATTCCGGCTAGAGTGGAGATTTTGGAGATTTTGATGGCACCTATATACACGGGTTAGTGTAAATGAAACTTTTCTGAAAACGTAGTGGTGTGTATGCAGTTTTTTTTTTCCTTTTTTTGTAAACAGAGAGGGTTAAATGTCCGTTTATGAAAATAGCCAGGCATAAATGTAGTCTAAGTGTCCTCTTAGTTTTTTGGGTTGGGGGTTAGATTTGTGTAAATAATAGGATTAGGTTTGCGTGGTTAAAGGCGATGTTTTCCCAGAAAATGGAGGTTTGACTTCTATGAAACAGGCAAGTCCAACTTCTTGTAAGAGATCGATATTTTGACAAGTTCAGTCTTACCAGCTCTACAAAGTGTTAATTACATGAATTACAGCAAATTTTCAACAACTTTTAATGCTTTAACATGGTCATAATAGTGAGCTAAACACTTGTGCAAGCAATGTGCCAGTATAAAATATCGAGAGATTAATCTTATGGTGTTTTGTTGCTTTATTAGGTCATAACAGTGCTTTTAAAGAAAACAGCAGTATACTGTCAGGAAACTGGCTGCAGATTACTCCTGCTGTATATCCCACAAAATTTGTGCTACTGACACGAATGGCAGGGTGTCGATAAAATAAAGTCCTATACAGAGCTACACACCAGCATTGGAATTACACATTGCTGAACACAATGAAAAGTCTTTACAGAGAAAGACGGTTTTAACCCTTTCCTTCCCTCTGGTGAAGTGAGACTTGTACTCTTGATTTTACAGAGCAAGCCTTAAGTTAAGAAAATATGAGACTGTACATCTGATTTATTATTATTCTTATTATTATTATTATTATTATCGTAATTTAATATTAAGTCACTAAAGGAGGTGTTTGCATCTCATCTTGTAGGTGCACAGGATACAAATCTGTAGCTTCAAAAATAGTAAATCTTGCACGCCTGGCTTAACTCTACCATTCATCAGCGGTTTAATGGTATCAGAGTTTAAAACCAAACTCAATCAGTTTGCTTACAAATAATTTTTTCTATCGATGTAAAAAAAAAAAAAAAAAAAAATGTTTTTTTCTGCATCACAAGCCCCATGATGGTCACTTGGAAAACAACATTTTATGTGGTCCTACTAGCTTAGCAGTCTGTGCGTGTGCCTCCTATCATCAAAGGGCACCAGTACTAATAGGACAGCACTGTTTTTAAAGCTGTCTAGCTTTATTAAGGGTTTCCTGGGTGTCTGAGATAGTAGAAGTGTCCTGGTTTGGGTGCATGTTGACAGTCCAAGATCATGTGATGCCACCTTACACGGTCTTAGCCTTGACAATATTTGTTGACATGCTTTTATTGGACTTCCCATTATCATCATTTCACATGAATTATTGAAGCAATGGGAGAAAAAAAATGGAGTTGAGTAGTTGGAATGCTGTTCAGTTGAGCAGGCTGAGATACTAAAGATGGGATTGTCTTCACATTAAAGTAGCTGATGCTTTCGCGGTGTGCTGGGGGCTCTCTGGGATGGTTTTCTGCCTGAGCAGGAATCAAACACATGATAACACTATTACAGCTTGTCATGGTACAGCACACATGGATATCCCATATAAAGAATTCATGTGCAGTTTTGGTGAATAGTTGACTCTTATTTAACGTAGCGTATTCCCGGTGTATCAAAAAGTCATAAGGCCGCTCATTAAAGTTTAATACAGTGACGGGCGTACAGTGGATCTATCACCGTTGAACGTCAAGCACTCCCCTGGCAGAGCTCACAGAAAGCTATCCATTCATCAAGCCAAAGAGAAAGTGGAGGAGACGTCCCTTAATGGTTGTGTGCAGCTCTAACGTGCACTCAAAGATTGAAATAAAGGTACATAAACACTGTCAGGAGTTACAGCAAAGAGCTGTGGAGGTATCACACGGAAATGTCAGGAGAGAGCGTTTCAAAACGGAAAAAACTGTGATTATTCTGACAAAATAGTCCCTGTTATACAACTACAGATCCTCCACACTCCTTTAACAAGCCTCTTTCTTCTGCTTCAGTCTGTTCACAGTTCTCCAGAGGAGTCTACGCCATTTTCGGATTCTACGACAAGAAGTCGGTGAACACCATCACGTCGTTCTGCGGGACGCTCCATGTGTCTTTCATAACACCCAGCTTCCCTCTGGACGGGAATCAGCAGTTTATCATCCAGATGAGACCTGATATCAAGGGGCCTCTGCTCAGCCTCATCGAGTACTACAAGTGGGACAAGTTTGCCTACCTGTACGACAGCGACAGAGGTAAATCTGAGACGTATTTCTCTTCATGTTTTAAAGCCTCTCTCCATATCTGAGTCTCTGCTGATGCTGGCTTTATCAAATCACCATAAAATAACAGCAGCTGTTGTCACCTTTTGATGTGCCTCCACTGGAAATAGGATTGGGGAAAGCATGACAGAATCTAATGAAGAATATATGAGGCTATGGCTGCATATTAAACACTGCCAATTATTCCTGATTTGATTAAAATAGCTGTTTGTGTTTTTTTTCTAATGCAATCAAAGATCATTCTCCAGACAGGATAAATGCCTGATATATGCAAAACACACCACATGCTCGCACACCAGCTCAGGTAATTTTAGGTAAAGGGCATTTTGGTTCATGACAAACAGCTTGTCACATTAATGCAACCACAGCACCTCCAGTGTTTAAGAGAGTGTTTCATGTAATATGAAGGGGAGGGGACACACTCAGAGCCGTATGTGACATAAAGAAGACATGATGTGCCTTGCAGATGTGGACTTTAGCACTTGACGCTCATAGAAGAATTTGTTTGCATAATGACACAGCTCTGCAAGTAGTTTCTTAAAGGGATATTTCGGTGTAAAATTAATTTAGGGTCAAACACACTGTAACACCGAGTTAGACACCCCCTCCAGAGATGAATGTTGCCGACTGCCTGCTTCTCTAGTTATACCAACTTTAGTAACGACCGCAGGATAGCAATACACAGCAGTCTAAGGAGCCATAAGCAAACCTCAACCAAAACACCACTTTATAGCCACAAATAATGCTCAGAACAGCACCTAACTTCATCCACAGCACATATAGGGTCCCAGCTATAACACTAGCCACCAAACATCTTTTTAACTTTGCCTATTTTCTTTAGCAAAGAGACTAAACATAACTCACCTACTCTCTTCCAGCAGCCGCTTGTTTGTAGCGAGACCCCGGGCCAGTCCATTACGGACTGCTGCGGGGTGACGCAGCTCAAGGAAGAACATTTATGATCATTTATGTAGTGAGACCTCGCCTGGGTCGATAATGAACTAGCATGAGGTCTCACTACAAACAAGTGGCTGCTGGAAGAGAGTAGGTGAGTCATATTTAGTCTCTTTTCTCAAGAAATTAGGCAAAGCTAAAAAGATGTTTGGTGGCTAGGACTATGGCTGGGACCCTATATGTACTGTTGGTGCTGTTCTGAGCATTATTTGTGGCTTTTTGGTTTAGGTTTGTTTATGGCTCCTCAGACCGCTGTATATTTTTATCCTGCGGTTGTAAGTAAAGTTGGTATAACTAGAGAAGCAAGTGGTCTGCAACATTTATCTCTCGAGGGGATGTCTAACTTTGTGTTACAGTGTGTTTGACCCTCAATTAATTTTACACTGAAGTATCCCTTTAACTTTACAGCTGGAAGTGCACGCCTGCTACTTCACCAGGCTGCCTTCTGAGACATTTTCATCATGTTACTGTATGTTGTGGTCAGCGGTTATTGTTTTATGGAGACGAGATCAAAGATATAGATCAGGCTTTTACTTGGAAAATCTTTCTGGAACTGTATTTTATATTTCATGTGTGAAAAGTCAGACACAAATATTCTTAATCAGGGTCGATAACATGTCGATTTAGGCTGCAGAGATGCACACAGCTTTCGGTAAAAATAGACCAGACTTCTATTCTCTGAAATCTCACCAGCAGTCTGAAAGCTCAGACTTGTTCACACGCCAAAATTAACACCAAGCCTTTGCTGCATGTGCGAAGCATGAATGAGCCTCGCCTCTGGTGGGAACAGACAAGCAGAGCAGAGCTGACATTGTTCGGCGCAGGGAAACTCATTGACGCGCACGCCGCTGACATAAAACGAGTGAATTACGTAAAATTCCATCAGGAGAATGTTTTGCATATTTGAGTAACACATCAGCAAAGTCTAAAAGCACAATTCATGTACAAGTTTATGTGATATGATTATTTTAAAGCGAGGTGTTGGCTGAGCTTTCACTTCATGTTCTTTCTCAGCTTTGCGCCGCTGTGCTTTCACACTGAGAACCACCTTTCACAACTGGGAGCTGCCAGGCCTGTACTGTGAGCCTGAGGGCAGATTGTGCTTTTCAGTGAGGAGGAGGAGATAACCCAACTCTCTCTCTCTCTCTCTCTCTCTCTCTCTCTCTCTCTCTCTCTCTCTCTCTCTCTCTCTCTCTCTCTCTCTCTCTCTCTCTCTCTCTCTCTCTCTCTCTCTCTCTCTCTCTCTCTCACAAGCTCTAACTCAATGTCAAGCATCACCTGCCTCCTGATCCATCAACCTGTTGGACAAATCAATTCACTGAGATACGTTCAAGACTCTTTGTGATGTGTCTTAAAATAAGAACACTTTAAGCTGAAAGATAACAGTCGGTACCTTTCTTACTTCAAATTTAATTCAGCAAAAAAAATATTCTAAGAGCAAAAAAAAGGTGCACTTTATGAAAGATAGGAGTGAAAGTGTTTTTTCGGTCACGTGCACCTGGAAGTGAATAAGATCACAGACTGTTTTCATGCACCACAGTCAGAGATGAGAAATTATCCACCCTCTAACTTTAATATCCAGACTGACTTCATATTCAAATCTATTTCATCTCTATTCTTTGATCCTACCCATCAGTGACTTCTTCTCCGTCCTGCTCTGAAAGAAGTCTGGAAATTATCCTTTTTTCTAGCCGACACTTTTCCTCTTTGTCTGAACGGTTCTCAGTTCATCAACCTTAAAATATGACTTTCTGATTGGCATGTTATAGTGTCTGAATTGAAAAGCAGGTTCTTTATAAAATCAGAAATGAACAAGGATGAAAAAATGAAAAACAAGATTGCAGACTTTGCTGTGTCATGCCTTCCATTTCACGTCTCGTCTCCTAATTGCGATTCTGAGATTTGCACAAACTTACAGCACTGATCCATCAAGCATCTCCAAAAGGAAATCCCTTCAGCTGCTTTCTTTTTAAACACTATTATTGCAATGAAACAATAGAATTAATGCATCAATAATATCCAGTTTCAGAGGAGAAACTCCATCAAGTCTTCTGTTTGAATAAAAATGCGTCACCCTAATGCTACACTCCTCCAGCTCCTTTATTACTTTCCCTTCTAGAACAAATATGATCGTTTTTTCAGCACATTTTTAGCTGTTAAATTATAGCGTAGCATAGTATAGTTGTGAATAGACAGAATATTTAAATAATGCACAAGGTGGCTTAAAGAAAAAGAAGGTGAGTCAGCTTGGATCAGTGCTTTCTTTGTGTGACTATGAAGGCTGAAGGCACCTGTGGCTTAGGGGGGATTTAGTCCATATCTAGCCTGTATTAGCTTTAACTCTCCATCATAACCACCACTTATACTCTCCCCCCGCCTTTACTTGATCTATGTGGTATCTTCATTCTGCACAGGCTGGGAAACAAAGCCAATAATAACTGCAGTTCCTCAATTGGCCACTTGGGGCTGGAGCCAAAAGTGAGTCAACCCCCATTAAGCCCCATGTTAAAAAGTCCAACTTTAGAGCTAAGTTTTGTGAGTATACAGCGTGGTGCATGGGTGGTTTTTGAGTCTATGATTAATTTCTGTTCCTGAAATTTTTTTCTCTCACAAATTACCCGCTTTGATTATATCAATTAAATACAGCTGTCTTTATGTTTTGCCTTCTACACTACAACATGCAGTCCAAAATGTCTAATATTGAAATACACAGATTGAAAAAAAAGGACACTAAAATAAGCTACAACAGTACAAATATGTCAAATAAAAACATGTCTATTCAAAGCTATGAAAAAAGGGGATAACTAATGCAGTTTTTGATATAATCAAACCTGTGACACATGCTATAAATTACTTCAAATTCTAGGTTGAGTCAGAAAAGATGGTTCTTGATTTTCTCTTGAAAACAGATCAAAACATTTTCATATCCAAAAGCACTGACTTTTAGATTTGGGTATAAATCAAAAGGATCTCTGGAAGTGCTAATGCCAGACACAGCAGGAATAAATAAAGGCTTAAAGTCATGCATAGTTTAGGGTGTGGTCACTTTGAGTGACAGGCGGTTCTTTAATGTGCTTAACATCATACCAGAAAATTTATTCCTAATTCTCTTCGCTGTGTTTCTTTTGTTGGTGACTTTGGAGACTTTGAAATGTGGTCAATATTGGTCCAATCTGTGTATTCACTCAAAATAAAGAGCTGCATATTATTATTTTTATATGCTGTTTTTTTGTTGTCGTACACAATGCTTACTACCGTCTGTACTAATCATACCTGGTTTGTTAGGTTGGAATGATTTTACTACATTAAGTTCAGCGAGAGGGCCTCTTAGAGTCTGAAGTCTTTCCCTCAGATGTTGAGCCATAATGAGGAGTAGACGAGTATTTTGTCCTGACAGTCTGGAGTCTTGATGTTACTTTAAAGACCATATGCTTGACTCTCCCTTACATCTTCTCCTACATGTTCCCATTCGTCTTTTCCCAGAATCCCCTGCTAATCTCTCCAGTCAGCCTCGCTCTGACTTAAACACTGCTCCTCTTTAAAACTAGAGGGCACTTCTCAACCTGCTGTTCTAAATTGTCCTCCTGCTAATGCTAGCTCTGACCTGCTGTCTCCTACTGTACGTCCCCGGCGCCACTAAAGGGGCCTGTTGTGCATATTTCATCATTGCATGGCTGTCTAATTAGGTCAGTGTGATCCACTCATTCCCATAGCAACCAAAGTGTGGAGAAAGACAGCAAGAGAGAGAGAGAGAGAGAGAGAGAGAGAGAGAGAGAGAGAGAGAAGGGGGGAGACAGAGATAGATTGTGAGTGACTGAGCGGGTTAGTAAATGATGCAAGGATACGCGTGGGTGTTTCTCAGTCAGAGAAGGAGCCTCAGAGAGGAGGCGATGGAGTTGCCACTGGTTATGATGAATTTTATTAGCACGTTGAGACTAATGGATGAACCGACACCAGCTTTGTCAGCTGTTGTCAGTAAGTCAGTTCAGATAATGGATGCATGTATGTGGGCGGAAAGGCACTCTGAGGCACTCTTAATTACATTCCTTTGTCTCACTGAATGCAGACATGTTCTCAGTGAGACTTTGAGAAGTGTGGTTTTACTCTGAATCTTTGTTATTTCTGTGCTGGGACTGAGATTGATGAAATGAAACAAAGGACGGAAGAAGAAATAGACAGAAAGGGACGTCAATTTGATACAGCTTTGTCTTTCTATCACCACTCCAATAATCATAGTGATCAAGTCTTTGCAAATTAATTCCATTTTTATGTTGGGTGCAAATGCAAGAAGTAGTATGTTGTTTAGTATGTCCCACATATACCAATTCATAACAGACTCAGTCTCTCCTTAACCATACCGAAGGCACCTGGACTCTAAAACCAAGAACTAGTGATGCACGATATGAAAAATTTCAACCGATACCGATAACCGATAATTTTCTTCTTCTCATGGCCGATACCGATACCGATAACCGATAAATTCATATTTTTACATTTATTATAATCTTCATATAATCTGCAGTTTGTGCAGGATGCAGTGATTGAAAACTGATATTTTTGTTGCTCTGGCCTATCTAGAACAACAAACAAAAGTTTTTGGCTCTTCAAATGTTTATTTTTTCCATGTCATCACAAAAATATGTGGTCATTAGCTATAAATAACAATAACAGAGCAAAAAGCAGAACTTCATTTGACCAAAACAGTGCATCCCCTGAACTGTTCAACAGAACTGTAGACTGTAAAGGAGCTATTATGAGACGTTAGGATTAGCATGCTGACCGGACTAACATCTGACGTCCATATGTCTGTGGTAAAACTCACGTGTAGTCCGTTCTTGTCGATCAGGTTGTGAATGTATGTGGCGACAATATCATAGAGTGCAGGAAGGGACACATCCGAGAAGAAGCGGCGGCTTGGGAGAGTGTAACGTGGCTACAAGTGTGCTATTAACTTACGAAAACCCGGGTTCTCAACGACGGAAAAAGGCTGTTCGTCGACCGCTATGAATTCCATCACTTTGTCGTTAATGGCTTTAGCCTTTTCGCTGTCTCTTGAGAAGCTTTTGCAGTTTTCAAACGCCTGCTGAATGGGGACATCGATCCTCCGTAGTGTTGTTGTCTTAGCTTAAGTACCGCTAGCAGCTTCGGCGGCTGTCTCATAGTCTTTTAACACCGCTTCGCCGCGATGGCGACTTTTCAGATGAGCTATCAGATTCGTCGTGTTAAAACTTGACGTCTTCATTCCGCCTCTCGTAATCCTCGCTGAACAGGTTTTGCATATAGCAGCTGTTGTCATCTTCTGCCACTGAGAAAAACGACCGTGCTGGTGAAGACATTTTATTATCAGTCAGGTAGTGACAGGGGTCAGGCTTGGGACCTGCGAGTAAGGCGCGACGGGCGGCTACTCCGCCTGCAAACGTTACTCGTAATTTCATTAATATATCGGCTCTTTCTATCGGAAAAAATGCACCTATCGGACCGATAAAAAATGACGTAATTTTCCCCCAAATCGGCCGATATTCTATTGGTCCGATAAATATCGTGCATCCCTACCAAGAACGGACATGGTCTTTAAAGCTGATATCGTCAAATATGGGTGACAATTGGCAACAATTCAACATAACCCTTAAAGCTCCGGTGAGGAGTTTTGTGCAGGTTACAAAATTGATAGTAAAGCCTCTTTATTACCTACAAAAGCAAGAAGACCATATCTGAAACTTCTGGCAGAGGGGGTAGGTGCCAGTCATAGTGATAAACTGCACAACGCTAAAATAGCTTGAGTGTTAACGTTCAGTCTCCAAGACTTTAACATGTGATTTACACACGTGCACTTAAAAAAATTTGCAAACTTAAAAGGTTCTGCTTTGTCCAGAGGGGGCGCCAAAACTGATGCAAGCCAAAAAATCTTCCCAGGAGCTTTAACTCTTTGACCATCTTTGCCAAAGCTATGAACACTTTGTAGGTGTTGTGCTGGCTTGAAGGTATACTGTGTAGTATCTCCTCATGTTAAACAGACTCGACAATGGTAAACCGTACTTATTAGTATGTTTAAACTAGTTTACAATCACCTGAACATAGAAACTGATTTTGGGTTATATCTACAAAAAGGAGCAACCGGTATTGCTACTGATCTTTTAGCTATTGAGTTTCTCACAAGTAATTGCGCGCAGTACCTACAACAGTTTGCTCTACCTGCTGAGAACAGTGACTAAATTGTCAGCCAAAAGTGTGGATACTTCCCTCGAAGGAGATCAAATGAGGGAATATGTTTGTTTTCATCCGTTGTGTAGAGACACAAACCCAATCAATGCCAATGTTGACCTGTGCTGCTTGTGTAAACGGGAAATTGTTGGGTAAATGTTTGCTGTGTGTAAACTTAGAGGGTCATAATATGTCAGCGCTGTTTTTGCAGCTTGTTCTTGATGTTGTCATTCGATGAAGTCGTTTGTTTTCCATGAACAACCAAATGCATCATTTCTGGCTTGCAATGGGGTTATAAATTACTAACCTGAATAGGCTTTTTCTGAATCATGATCCAGTTCTTCTCTTGTCTTTATTTAACTTTGACTCTAAATGTATCCATTAACTTGATCTGATTGGTTTGAATCATGTAGATCTTTGTTGGCCAACTATCAGAGGATGAGCCACATTACCCTACAAAGATACAAAGAGTCTATAATGCATGATACAACAGACTGGTAGCGATGCTCTGATTGTTATAATGCAGAGTGGACAGTTATACCTTAGGGATAGATGCTGGACCTTTATTACGGTGAATGATGGAGGAAACAATAACGTGACATAAAGAGATTATAGCCATTATGAAGCTGCATTTGTAGGCATTGAGCTGCTTTCCTCGTTGCATTATTTATGAGCCTTTCCCTGCCTCATCTAAATAGCTTTGCATCAAATTATGCATATGTGTATATCGTCTCATACATCATCACGTTCAGATGTTTTTTGATCAATGAGTATGTATTTATGATTTTTACAGTCAGGGCTGAATGTGTGATCGGTGGTAGAGATGAAATAATTCTGTCACTGGGGAAAAGGAAAGTGTTGATTTACATCGACTCCAGCTTCAGAGCGTAACAACATATCATGCTTTGCATACTAGTCCATGTCTCCTTACTCTTCCTTGACCTTTTAAATCCAGGGCAACTTACGGGTAAATAAGAGGTCACCAATGCTAATAGTGAGTTCTGTGCCTGCGTGAACGGATGGCATAGTGTTGGCTGTGAGCCACAACATAACATATGTCTCATTCCAGGCAGGGGCAGTGATAAGGCGTTCTTATCCACAGGGAATATGCATCATTCAGTGCAGCAGTCTATATGAACTTCGGAGGGAATGAGTGTCAGCCTGATCAAAGCAGCACACAGCGTATCTTTTCATAAGGTTGTCAGAAGGTTAAATATACAGACAAAATTATATTCATGTCTTTTGGAAATTGGTGTGCAGCAGATTTGACAAAGTAGCTAAACGATTGCTGCACTGACTTCGGTGAGTGAGACATCGGTGTAGCTGGTTTATGACAAGCAGGAAAGGAAAATTAAAGGTCACTCGAACTTCTTTTGACTGGATGCTGCACTTCACTTTTTAACATCAAAGGGTTCCACTACTGGTCTTATCCATTATTTTTGCTTGTTTGCATTAAATCCAAACTGAACTTATTTTTGTACTATAAGTTGGCAAAGACAGGGCAACAGGTTGTAGAAACCAGCTAGCTCGTGCAAAAACCTGGAGTGAACATCTCCTAACATAATTATATAATGGCATTAATGACGTGTGTGCCTGCTTGTTTTTGATTTTATTTAAATTACAAATCAGATAGGTACAAATGATCTTTAGTTGGGATCGGCTATGACCATGATTAACTCTGCGGGAGTATGAGACAGATGATTGGTCGTGTTGTGGACAAACCTGCCCAGCGCAGAAGGCCCCTCAGATCAGACCAAGTGTCAAACTCTGTTAAGATCTTAATCTATTTTTAAAAACTTGCTTCCGGCTGTGTTCAGCCACGGTTAGGTCTGTTTCACCTCTGGGACGTAGCTGAAAAAGAAACAGTGGTGCTACGGATCCTGAATGCTGCTTAAATTCGTGTTTTTGATATCTGTGCTTACACTAACTTCTCCTTCAATCCCTGAGTAAATATTACTCTATAAGTGTTTTGTATGGGAGGCTGCAGCTTTGTACTGTGAGAGGTAACACCAGCAGCCTGCAGCAAGACATGTCAATTCAGAAACATGATGAGACTCCCACATCAGAGGCTTCTTGAGAATGAATAAACGCTGCATGCATCGTTTAATGCAAGAAATAAGAGAGTAGCAATGATTCTTCGACATACTGATGACACTGCAGAGACACTTCACCATCGACATGCCTGATATAAGGACAGTCTCACCCTCACACACTGTTCGAAGACTCTTAATCATGTAAAATCATAATTTAATCTTATTCAGTATTAATGCAGCATCAACATTTACTCCCACATCTTGCTTCTGTCCTTCCATTATCTTCACGGTGAATCACTCGAAATTCTAATTATCTCATTTAATAAGCATGGATGAAACAGTCAAATTTAACCACACCATAATGACCTTACTGTAATTATGATGTATAGTTCATTCCGATAAAACTGCAAGGCTCCATTTTCCTCCCCACCATCATAAAAACCGCCGCCGTCGTGTCGCATGAAATTGATTACATCTGTAATTCACCTCGCTGTAGCAAGGCGGGATGAAACACTCGACCCTTTTATCAAAGCGCTCTCCAAATGCCCTCTGCAGACCAGGGATCAATATGAGCAGAGATTCAGCTGTGAAACGAGATGGAGGGGGGTGATAGGGGCAGAAGTTTGAATGTGTCTAACGGGCGGCTCTTCAGATTGATGGACAGCTGCTGCATGTGATTGGATCACTTAGATATGGCAGCTTCTGTCTGTTCTGCACCGTGTCATTCTGCTTTATTGGAAGTGAAGTAAGGGATAAATATTTGATGCCAAAGTCAAACAGATTGTTTTAGTAAAACTCATCCATATCTACAAACATCAGGGGTCTTTTCCCAGCCGTTTACAGTGGGTAGTAGGTGCTTTGTCCCTGCTGTAGCGCCAAGGAAACCCCTCTAATCTGACATCCAGAGGGGATTGCAGCCCCAAACACTTGAGGCCAAAAAAACTCAAAGTAGAGGACAAAAAGATGCAACATTGCCAGCTTTTTAAAGGAGCATTTCAATATATTTTGAAGTAGCAACTCATACTACCAAATACTGACATATCCCAGCTTTAAGTCAAAAGCTTTTACTTTTACAATACTTAACGAGATGTATTTTGCTTTTACATTTAGTATTACTGTGATAATATAACTGTGAGTTCTGCTGCTGTAGACTTTAAAAGTACACACTCCATGGTACAGCTGGTCATTCACAGTTTCAGTGTGTGGCACCACTGTGAACCAGCATCAGGATGAAGTGCAGCTGGTGCTACACCAGCTAAGCTGACCATCTGCCCGAGCTCCATGTCAGTGTTTCTGTAGACTGCACATGCTCAGTCTCTGCACTCCAAATATCACACCACTACACCTGCTCGAAGTGTGTATTTCCAGCTACTATGTTTTTTTTCCTTTTCAATGTGGTAACTATTCTTCTTCTCTGGTTATTTAGTGCAGTTAGCAGACAGCTTTTAGACAGCAGCTGGTACAAGTGTCAGATGACACCTCTTACATCAGGCCTTTTCATACTTTGTCAAAGCAATGAGGTGCCAAAACTGACAAAACATTAAAGTTCCACACAGTAGCTTAAATGACTTGGTTGCTTACTGTTTCCTACAGCTCAGAAATATGTCTCCAATCAGACCAGTGCTCTCTTTAAACCCTGAAACATTAACTCACTCTTTCATTTCCCTCATTATGGTTCCCTTGCTGAACTCACTCATCTCTATCCGCCCACAATTAGTTCAAAATGGAGCCATCAGGTTATTAACTTAAACCAACTATCGACCCCCTGTTCTCCCATCTTTCCATTGGCTTCTTGTTCAATCCAGAATCTCATGATCTTGTGACTTACTTTGAAGGCACTGCATAGTTTTAACCCCAGTGACATTTCTGACCTCCCTATTTATTCCACTCTTCATCCACTCTGTTCCTCTAACCCAGGCCGTCTTCATTTCTGTGCTTGTAAAACAATCTGAAACCCAGTGCTTGTTAACTTCCTCACTTGCTAACATACTTACTAAATGATTCACTTTCTAACCTGCTTCCTAATCTACTTATTTGCTTTCCTACCTACTTACTGTCTTACATACTTATTTGCATATAAACGACAATAACCAACATTATTTTGCCCATGTCAATATATCTGGTGTCAAAAAATAGATCAATAAAAGTTGGTTTTGGACGTGTGTAGGTAGGTCATGGTCTTATATCCCTTTAAGAAGCTGTCCTATGTCGGAGACATGACTCCAAACCATCCAGTCCGTAACAAAGAGGGAAAGACAGGTGAGGAGATGGAGGACGGTTCAAAAGTTGTAGCAGCTGAAGTAGACGAAGTTAATGTGGGAGGGAGTGAGCAGCTTGTGGAGTAGTTATTGTCCATTTATCATTATCGAGGTGAACTGCTTGATATATCTTGATATTGATTTGAGGCCATATCACCAAGCCCTACCTTCTTACTTACTGTCTTACTTGCTTACATGCATACTTACTTCCATACTTATTTCCCTCCCTACTTACTACCTACTTATTTGCTTACTCACTGTCCCACTTACACGTCCCACATACTTAATAACCTGCTTACTTACTTCTTATTATACTAATTCTTATGTCTGACTTACTTTCTTTGCTTCTTTACTAACTTTGCAAATAACAGAAATGTTTTCATAATAACCAGAATTATGAAAGTAATGGAGGGTTTTCAAGTGCGGAAGTTTCCTTTGCTGATGTTAAAGTGAACAAGCCGGAAGATGAACTTGAGGTTAACGTATTATTTGACGATGACTCAGTTGTTTGGAAAATTGGGCAAAAAAAAGCTTGTCTTTATAAACCCAGTCAAAACTTTCGGTGCTGTCGCAGTCAAGTACATTGTTAGACCCACTTTCCGCCTACATGTTGGTCAGGTTCAAGCCTGAGCACCTGTGACTCATCTTGATGGGCTCTTTACATAATGCACTGACTCTCTGTTGAACTTCCGCCGTGTTTGAATAAGCAGACAGTGGATGCAGACATTCTGCAATAAAAAACTACGCCCATGCTTTTGAATAAGTCTAGTCTGCTGCGTCATTTGTTTGGGTTTATTTTTGTATGTTTTCTCTGCTCCTGAGATGCAGTTTTTCTCTGTTGTAATGATGTTCCTTGTCTTTGAGGAAGTGCAGCTTTGCCTGTGCAATCAGAGCACACGAAATGGTTTACAACTAAAGGGGTTCACTGCTTAAGAGTGTACGTACTTTGGAGACTCCCTGCGTAATATCTCTTTTTATTCCCCTTCCAAAGTTGGTAAAAGTTTTGGATCTTATTTGTCAGTGGAGTTGAAATATCTGACAGTTCTCTAAATGTTTCAACCCCAAAGGATACCATGGATGAATCAATAAGATGGACAGTATGAATCATGTTTTATCCCGCTTCATTTCCGTTCTCAGGACTGACGACACTGCAGGTCGTTCTGGACACGGCCGCAGAGAGAAAATGGCAAGTGACAGCTATCAATGTGGGCAACCTAAAGGACGAGAGGAAGGATGAGGCCTACCGCTCACTGTTCCAAGATCTGGAGAACAAGAAGGAGAGGAGGGTGATCCTGGACTGTGAGCAGGACAAAGTCAAAGACATCATGGAGCAGGTAGGCTGGATAGGTTTCCTGTCTAAGATATTCCCTCTGGGAGGTTTGGTTTGTGAGGCTAATGGAGAAAGGTGTGTTTGGCTTAATCAACCATGATGGGAATGAAAATGTTGGCATAGTGATATCATAGTGATACAACTTAGACAGCAATACATACTCATGATAACCCATGAGAGCAATTCTTAATATTTTAAAACTTATGCTGAAATTTTTCAACAACCTACAATCCTTGTGACAAAGTGAAGTGCTGACAACGGATTTTCAGGGATTAGATAAACTGAGACACCAGGTTTTAATATGTGGAACAGATATTGTACTTAAAAATGAACTCAAATGATGAGAGTCAGACTGTTGTTTTTCGTTAAGATCAGTTCGTATATATTGAACTTCTCTATGTGGATTCTGGATTTCAAATGGACTGTGACATAAGAGGTCAACATCGGGTGGCCCTTGGTGAAAGCTCGATTTTAGATAGTCCTAATATCCCACTCATCCAAGAGCCCACAGCCCTCTATGGCCTCACCACTGAAGTATGAAATTCACAAGTTCAATGTGGAAACATTAAACCAGTGATTAAAAGCAGGAGAGGTTCAAGTCTGCCACCAGCGAAGTTAAACCAGTTTCTACAGAAGGACTTAATATGAGTATCATGGGCTTTGTCACAAGCTTTATGTAATTTTTCGTCTCTTTTGATTTTAAATGATTAGTAAATTTTAACATATCAAGACTCACATGGCATCAGTTTCAGTTTGGGACGCTCAAGAACATTGTCAAATTAGGATCCATTTTGTGCTGTATGAGAAAAAACACGCCTGTTGCATCCACTAAAATGCTAAAATGAATGAGCTTTCTGATGGCAAAGTAAAGTACTGAAAAGTTTCTTAGTGGAGCGTCCACTTAAGCTGAGGTGAGCACTTGGTCAGGGACTCTCAAAATTAGCTCAAATAAGTGATTGAGTCAGGCCTTCCTACAGAAAACTGTAGCCTAGCTTGTGTGCTGTCTCTCCTGGCAGTTTCCCATTAAAGAGGTGAAGCTGACTGGCGCTGAATGTGGCAACTGCACTAACAAGTGACATGTAACTCATACAACCCCACTTAAAGTGAAAAGGTGTAGGTTTTGCCAATCGGCAGGTTCTGTGATATGAAGTTTGCAGGGTGTTTAAGGATACTTGAGCGAAATCAGTGAAGTGCCTCATGAATAACTCTACAGCCACTGTGAGGACCTCTGAGCTGGTTATGAAACAGACTTATATTACAAGTGATGCCGTTTTATGACCTGCAAAAGCAAACAACACCATCAGCAACAGGGCTGATAACATTGTAATTTCTTATTTCTAAATCTGCTGCAATGTGGTGTGGGTGTCATACAAAAAAAATCTGCCTACAAATGCACATTTCCAAAGTGATGTCCAAAAACTCAACAAAGACAAGGCTTCATTTTACAAACAATTTCTATATGATTATTTGTATTTGTCAAAAAAATAAGTTTTGAAAACAGTGGGAAAGAAGGAGAAACTCTAATGAGAGAAACACGGAGAAATGTGAGAATAACAAGAGGAAATATGAGTGTATTTTTAAATTAGAGAATGTAAGACATTCTAACAACCGTATTATCCTTTAATTACTCCTGTAGGACAGGAGTGATAATTGCATGAAATATGAGCTTTTGATACAGCGCTCGGAAAAAATTATTGTCTTGTGGACCTGGCAGTCCAGCAGATGTAGAAAGGCACCATAACAATTACACTAATTGTCCTTTAAGGCTGTAAACAAAACTGCAATTAGAGGCAAAACAGATGCACATAAACAGGTTATTTTTACTCCTCCTCTTACCCAGGAGAGAGGCTTATCGATTAGCATTTAAAGCGTGCCAACGTCTGTTTAGCCAGTGCTGAATGAAATCAATGCCCACAGCCTCGCAGCCTGTTTATCTGGGAAAAACAGAACCTGTTCAGGTTGAAGTTTCTCGTTTCATGTCAAAGGCATTTATGTAGGCGATCCAATACATTATTATTCAAATCTGCTTCAAGTAGCTGCCCCGACAAACGGCGGCGCCAGTCAAGCAGCAGGATTAGTTTCAGGTGTGCCATTCATGTGCGGCACGGAAATAGAGCAATATTTCAGGTGTTTTCTGCCGCTTCTGTTGCTTTACTGATAAGGCAGCTGGATATTTCTTTTTAACCTGCGAACGCCGCCGTTTTTAGAGCGATAATGACCAGAACTGTCAGCCATGTTAAGGCTGATGATTTCATATCATATTGTTTAAGTAGAACTGTGTGGTTCAAACTGAACTGTTATTACATTTCTGTCTGTTTTATCTCTGATTGTCATTCATGGTTTATTGTGGAGTTACAGTTTCCAGGAAAAGCTGCTATTAAATCTGTATTTCAATTTAGAGAGATATAAGCAAAGTCAAAGTTACATGGAAGAAACTGTGATTTCTAATACTTCGCTTCATGCTTGTTCCACTGGAGTTGAATTATTATGTTTTATATTTGTGTGTCTTTGCAGGTCATCACCATTGGTCGACACGTCAAAGGCTACCACTACATCATAGCCAATCTGGTAAGTTTATGCAATATCTACAACTGCTTCAAGAGACTTCATACTTCCTGTTTAAAGAGTGAGGCTGCACAATTAATCGAATTATAATCCTGATTAGGATTTTGGCTAAAAATAACGTGACTGACAGCTATGGTTAGCTAGTAAAATGTGTACAGTTGTTGGCTGGAAATAGTAATGTAAATTCATTACAGTGTTTATTGTATTATATGTATATTCTCTCAGTTTATGATATTTATTTGCACCAAAACAGGCCAAGAGTAGAAAGACGAGGTGTGTGTGTGTGTTAGTAAAGCAGAGGAACAGAGTGAGCATGGAGAACAAAAGCTTTAGTGTTTATAACCATGAACAAGCAAACTGTCGTCTGGATTAATGGTGAGTGCCCTCCAGGTCTAAATCATTATCGCATAATATTTATCAGATAGAGTTTAAAAAAGACGCTGCTGACTCGGTACATATACCGCTGATGGGAAAACGAAAATGACAACAGTTCCAGACCAAGACATGCAAAAACAAATATGAGCTGTCTGATGGGTCTGGTTATACCTGGCTAGTGTCCACAGCATTATCATAAAATTGAGTCAGATTTCTTATTAAAGTAAAGCTTTGATGCAATATCTGTTTGACTAAATGGCGCCAAAGATGTTAAGCTTGACGTTAAACAGGCGAAATGTGGGATATCAATGTTTTCAAGCAAATCATAAACAGTAAAAATGTCCATAACATGCACAAACTGTCATGATTGATAACCTTAATAAACATCATTTTGGCCATTATCTAATAAAGAGATAACATTTAACTCTAACTTCTGCGTTCTTCAGGGTTTCATCGATGGGGATCTATCCAAAATCCAATATGGCGGAGCCAACGTGTCAGGCTTTCAGATTGTTGACTTTGATGATCCTTTGGTGTCTAAGTTTGATCAGAGGTGGGAGGCTCTAGAAGAAAAGGAGTATCCCGGTGCTGACAGTAAAATCAGAGTGAGTACATGCGCACTGTCAACATGCCAGTGAGCGTGCGTCAACATTCATGCAGGAATGTTTATTCTTTTGCAGGATTGATGGTTTAAAATGTGACTGAAAGCACGAAAATATTCCTCACTCCATTGAATGTATTTGAAGTAAACCTTGAAGTAAATTATTCTGCGGCTATCTGCATCAAGCAAACTTTACACTCACACGCACTCACTGTGTGCATTATTTAACATCTCTACACATAAGCAAGGAATGTTATGCATTGTTGGATCAAACAAATGCACTTTCCCATGAGCTAAGAGGTAGAATTTTCTAGAGCTGAATGCATATGCAAACACAAACTCAAAACCAGGATTTTATGACATTGAAATTATGTAATTGATTTACTGCTTTAACCCTTTAGTTTAACATAATATGAATCTCGTTGGAGCTACACTGGCTTCCCTGTTTTTGTAAACTGTATGGTCAAATATGAAATATCAGATATCATCACAAATATTCCCTATATGTGAGTCAATTTCAACTTCTTTTTGTTGTCATACAGCCACACTGGGAGAAAAATCACTTCATGGTTATCAGCATAAAAGAAGTAGGGCAGGTTGTGACAAAACACAACAAAAAACAATTTTAAAAAAGCCAGCTCTACACATTTACTATGCGCTCTTCTTTTGAAAAGATGCCTTAATATCAGAGAATTGTGTCTGCCTTTGTAACAGCGGGATGTACTTTTTTATCAGAGAGATTTAAAGTGGTGTCTTTATTCATTTGATGGATTAATTTTAGGTTACAGCTTAGATTTGAGCCTCTGTGTAAATTCATTATTCTCTCTATAAAAAGATTATAAAGTAAGGATTTGTATGAGGTCCATGAGATGACCCCGGACTCAGGATTTCCACTTTCATGGCAGTTTGCCTCAGACTGTTCCTGTGAATATTTAGATACATGGATGTTTTTGAGACAAATTGCATACTCTTGGCAAAGGAGCATCTTGTTCCAGCTTTTTGAGGACATGCAGATCAGCCCACAAATACTTTTCAGTTTTTTCTTTTTTTTTAAGTTCAGCTTTTACAAGAGAGAGGAGGAAATGTCACAGAAATACCTCACAAGAGCCTGATTCCTCTTTCTTTCTTTTCCTTTTTAATCTTTCTGTTTGAGCAAAACAATTTATCACTGGCTGCACTGGTTGACATGTTCAACAGCTCATTTCCACTATTTTCAAACAATACCAAGTAAAGTTGCATATTTAACTGGTAAGGATGACCATTCTCCAAAGTTTCTCATTAAAAAAAATGTGCCAAATGGTATTCACATTCAAGAGCAGACGCTCCTGGGGTGGCTGAAAGTCTGATTTACCACTCATGTTGTTACAATCCTAAACAATCATTTTCTAACTGGCCTTATCAGAAGCAGAACTCATGTTAAAATCAATTATTTAGGCTTTGTTGCTCAAAGCTAAAAGTAATTTTTCCTGCACTTAAACACAAAACTTTTCAGATCTAAAACTTTCATATGTCTCCGTGGGGGCAGGATAGTGTTAAACCAACTAAAACTAAGAAAAAGTTCCCAATCTGAATCCCAGGTCTAGTTAGTGGAATTGCAATGTTAGTTTTTTCCAATATCATGCAGCCTTAGACTGATTGTAGCTATCCTTACATTCTCAGCAGCACATTTCTCTCGATAGTACTTTATACCCTCACTTTGAGTCCAAAAGAATCAGGCTCATAAGATTGAAATATTGGTTCTCAGTCATGTCACTTTTGAAAGTTTAACACAGGAATAAAAAACTTTTGAATACCTGGACATTCAAAGCTATAGAATGAAAATTTATGTATATAGAGGGATGCAATAGTATGTTTACTTCATGACGCCAGCAGGGCCACCCCAGTCAAAAACTTCCTCTTTGTGAATGGCGGTTAAACATGACTCAGCTGGTTTACATAACAGAAATTAGGTTAAGGGATTCCTCCTTCTCTTGCAAACCTAAGGCAAACATCTCTCTCCTTATTCTGCCCTAGTACACATCAGCGCTGACCTATGACGCGGTGCAGGTGATGACTGAGGCCTTCCGCTACCTGCACAAACAGCGCATCGACTTCACCAGGAGAGCCAACAACGGGGACTGCCTGGCCAACCCTGCTGTTCCCTGGGCTCAGGGAGTGGAGATTGAGAGAGCACTGAAACAGGTAACAGGCAGCACGTACGCGAACATCATTTTGCCGGTGAGGACCTGTTGCCGTGGTAACAGCTTTGGAAATGCATCTACAAAAGGCAGAAAGCGCTTCACAGAGATTGATTAGATACTGATGTTTTCAGCATGCATGTGGATACAAACAGAATTACTGACAGCTATTCTTCAGAAGAGAAACCGAGGTCCACCCACAATCGGTCCTCGGGGCTTTGATGAAAGTTTAGTCTCACTCCTGCTGAGAAATAAGGCTTGACAGTCAAAGTGGAGCCTAAGTGGATTTTTTTCCCCCTTTACTGAAGGTCTTTCAGGCTGTGGCTACAATCCTGAACCTCAAGTCTTAAATTTAATTCAGTCTGCTTTTCAAGCCCAGAGCAGCATGTAACACAAAAACAGCATCTGTGGACTTTTAGTGTTTATGCTCACAAAATGCTGGCTTTATTTGAATCTACACTGCAGATGATCACAGTATATGTAAGGAGATAAACTTAAAGAAAAGGCGCCTCCATGTGAAACATGTTCGAGGACTTACAATACCTTTGGTGCTTCACCAGGGTGCATCATCTTGGATTCGGATCAACCAGCTGACTGAATACTTGAATCTCTTTCCTTCAAGCTGTATCTCTGCCACTCTGACTTGTTCATCCGAGCTTTGAAAAACTTTGCTTGGCTGCCAATGCCTCGTACCCTATAAGTCTAGATTTGCCTACAGAGATGTGCAAACCTGTCATTAACCTACAAGCATGTAACAACCAAGCGACAGATGTTGAGAACCCCCAAGACCAGTTCATGGCTGCTCAACATACCATTATGTTGGCATCATTTGAACCCAGTATCTCTCCCCTTCAAGGTCCGGCTCACAAACTACACTGTGTTTACGATTTTCAGACACAAATAAGCTCATAAAGTTTTGTAGCTTCATTCAGTTTTTCTTTTTTGTGTGTCTTACTGGAGCAGTAAGCAGTCTGTCCAAAGGATGAATTTAAAGAAACACATATAAAGAGATGGATCCAAATATTCCTTTATATAAAAAAAAACATGCTTGTAATGATCTAGAAAGTCTTTTTTTTTTTAAGGTATGATCTTCATTGACAAAACACGTCACCCAAAGTCCTGCAGGTCTAGCCATTTTCCTCTATTGGATTCATTAACAGAGGCTGTGTCTTCATTTTAGTCAAACCTCCACAACATGCATCAAAATAAAGCGAAGAAACTGTTGTTAAAGCATGAAGAGTTAATTTCCTCCTAACTAAAACGTTCCAGTCAAAGTAAAGTCATCTCATTTTGTCCATATTGAAAGAGTTATGTCAGTGCCAGTGTTTGTGAATGTTGTGCAGAAGTGTTTCAGATGGATTGTGAACCCTTTGCATGAGAATTCAGAGCTGTCTTTTGTCTCATTTAAACAGGTGAGTTATCAGCAAAAGCCTTGCAGTCCCTTTATGACCCAGGCTCAGTGTGTTTCAGATCAGAGTGGAGAAATTAATCTGTTTTATCACTTATAAAATCTTTTTTTATACATTTGCCAGGCCTCGAGGATACTCCTAATGTGTTTTGATTGGAAACACTACATTCAGACATAACTATGTTTCAAGGAGAAACTCCACAGGATACCTTTAAGCCGCTCTTGGTTCCTCCTGCCTCTGCCTTTTTGTTATTTAGTTTGGCTGCCAATAATAGAAGAGGTAGGGAAAATATGTTTTTTGTCCCACGACATGCTGTGCCTTTGCTGTGATCTCCTCTCTAATCCATACATGGAGCGTTTCCTTATGTTTTCACTCTGCTTTATAGCTCAGCATGAAACCCCAGCTGAAGTCATTTTAGGATACTGGTATTCACTTTGAAGAGGAGGAGAGAATAACAGGAAATCCATTACCACAGTAAATCATGACTTATAGGAAAGGTTCACTCAGAGACCCCTCCAGAGCTTGGATTAATGAGTCAGAGAGACCAAGTAGTTTTTATTTATTCATTTTTTATCTGAGATGACAGTACCTGGCAAAAGAAAATTCTAAGTATCATAAAATCCAGACTATAAGTCACATTGATAAATAAGATTCATTTTACAGGGACATCTCAGAGAGAAAAAAAATTAAGTGTTTTTTTGCAAGAAGGCTTTCATTGCTTTCAATTAATGTGCAGTTTCTGTGCGACTGTGAAGCTCTTGGTAGTACTGAACTCATCAGGAAGTATTTGTGGATAAGTGCATCGACATTAGCTGTAACTCGCATTAGCTAAATTTTAATATACAGCCGATGGAAATGACTAGTTTGCCATGGTTGTTTGCTTTTCTAAATTCAGGATCTTTTTAATGAAACCAACGCGTCACATCTGGTTAACAGTATATCACGGTTTTCTTTAAATGCATGATCATGACCTTGTAAGAGTAGCATACTTGGGCAATAAAGTGGTCACTTGCTCATATTTAGCATTATCTTCTGGGTAATATACCGCAGGGCAATAAAAAAATCTCTCCCTGCATTTTACACAGCTTTATTGATCACACTGGTGTTTTAAAATGACATAAGATGTGGTTCTTATATTATCAGTTTTATGGTTATTTGGTTTTGAAGATAAAACTCATTCAATAAATGACCAGCAACTAACTCCTACAATCCCAGGGTCACCACAGCTGGAAAATACTCACTACTAAAGGACCCAGTTATAGTGCTGGTATCAGGTTAGTGAATGTTTAAGCTGTGAAAGTCTGCTTAAAGATGCTGTTTTGATCTGGTTTGATTTTCTGTCTCTAAGGTGCGTGTGGAAGGCCTGACAGGGAACATCCAGTTTGACCAACACGGCAAACGAGTCAACTACTCCGTCAACATCATGGAGTTAAAGACTAATGGTCCAGTCAAGGTCAATATTTTTTTTAATCTTTTTCTTATCAACTGTGTTTCTACTACATGGTTGGATTTAATGTGATCCTACATGTGACTTCAATGTGTGTCTTCTCAACAGATTGGCTACTGGAATGAAGTTGACAAAATGGCTGTCACCAAATCGGATGTCTTTGCAAACGAGTCCACAGGAATGGAGAACAAAACTGTTATTGTCACCACCATCTTGGTAAATACACTACAAAAGAGGTGTAGACTGTTTTTGTTGTACTTGGATTCAACGTTCAGCTCCAAATCCAACGTAAAGAGCAGGAACAGCTGTGATAACTTTAAGTTTTTGAACACCGGGATTCAGTTTGGCTAAGATTAAAAACTGGCAGAGTGGCTGTAGAACATAAGCATACTTTAAAAAGCTGTACCAGCACCCTCTTGGATGCCCATGAAAAAGATTAAACGTTATAAAATGGCCTCTGTCATCTTTTCAGTGGAAAAAAAGAGAAAAAAAGCTGCAGTAGCTGCTTTTCAACATGACAAAGTGTCCTCTGGATTGCCCCTCTGTTGAAAAAGTATAAGTAGTAAGGCGCCCCTTTTGTCCCTGTACATTAATTAATACATTTGGTTGACATACAGGGTCTTGGAGTTTAGTTTAGAGCACCAGAAAGTCTTTTTATTTAAGTTTTAAATCTGTATATCCTACTATCTGAATAACAAAGTTAGTTTTAAAATGACCACACACAAAATAAAAGATTGAATTTTACTTGTGCCTGAACATGTACAAATGAACCCCATGCTGAGGTTATCAGGGCCTTGAAAACTCTTCCAATTTCATAACTTCCAGACTACCAACTGCCAAGGTTGCCCAGGCAACCCTGATCTTCAAAATGTTGTTGTTTTGCCTTTATTAGACAGAACAGCTTGACAGAGACAGAAAATATGGAGAGGATGAACCAAACCACAGAGGGGTTGGGAGTTCAATCCCCCAACCAGAGCAACAAGGACTATGACCTCAAAACATGGGGTGTGGCCGGCTAGAACAAGGCCCATCATACAATTATTACCTTGCCAGGAAGAGACAGAAACGTGTAGAGCTCACAAAATAGCCCTGATTTAGCCTGAGTACGCCACTTTGTTACTATATCCTTGTTCAAGCTTTCTCTGAAGAGTGTAGAGTTCGTTTTTCTCGTTGTAGCACGCTCCGTCTGCCTGATTCTCCGCCAGAATAACACCAGGCCACTTATTCCTTGAAACAATGATGTGATTTGTCTACGACCGTTTTCCTCTTGTTTCCATAATGACCTGTCAGCCCGGTGTGAAATGCTTTTCTCTGAGGCTGCTTTTTTCGCTTTGTAATTCAACCTCTTGAGCTGAACAGTGTTCTGTGTTTTTCCTCTCTGTCCTTCAGGAAGCGCCGTACGTCATGCTGAAAAAGAACGCCGACCTTTTTGTAGACAACGAGCGCTACGAGGGTTACTGTGTGGATCTTGCGGCGGAGATAGCGAAGCACTGCGGCTTCAAATATCAGCTGAAGATAGTGGGGGATGGAAAATATGGAGCTAGAGATGCAGAGACAAAGATCTGGAATGGGATGGTTGGAGAGTTAGTATATGGGGTGAGTTATCTTCTGGTGGAGATCACTTGAGTCATCGATTGCCACAACACTTATTCTTGTTTATTGATTTCATTGTTCTGAATTACTTTGTAGCTGATCTAAAGTCAATACACACCGGGGTATTCCTCGTAGTAAGTACTTCTGACAGCTTCTTTGTTTGTTTTGTACTTTCCCCAGAAAGCAGACATCGCCGTGGCTCCCCTGACCATCACCTTGGTTCGAGAGGAGGTGATCGACTTCTCCAAACCCTTCATGTCTCTGGGAATCTCCATCATGATCAAGAAGCCCCAGAAATCCAAACCGGGAGTCTTTTCTTTCCTGGACCCGCTGGCCTACGAGATTTGGATGTGTATTGTTTTTGCCTACATCGGTGTCAGCGTGGTGCTGTTCCTGGTCAGCCGCTTCAGCCCGTACGAGTGGCACACTGAAGAGTACGAGGATGGGCAGATCCAGACCAATGAGTCGACTAACGAGTTTGGGATATTCAACAGCTTGTGGTTCTCCCTCGGAGCTTTTATGCGCCAAGGCTGTGACATCTCACCTAGGTGGGTCAGAAACTTTACAACTGCTGTGTTGTTCCCTCTTTAATTTACCAGAAAATACTACGGACTCGCTTGTGCTGACATGCTATGCAACCATAAACCGGAAAGTGAGTGTGCTTTATCACGTCACAGACTGAGTTTGTCTATAAACGGCTGTGTTGGACAGTCTGTAGTCTGTCAAACACTTAAAAGTCCAGAGTGAAGTACCAGGTTTATCTGAATCACTGGGATCAATGGGTAAGAGGCTGACTGGGTTGGACAATTACCTGACATTTCTTTTTCCTCCATAGGGACAGTCCAACACTTTAGTCAATAAAAGCTTGTCTCTAAATCTAACTCTTGGCCGTGGCTGTACTTCCAAATCAATGTTTACATTTATAGGCTAATACAAGCACATCATGGCAGAATGCCACATTTTTGGATGTCACTATGATAATGCAGATAAGGGGTGTGTTAAAGCATAAAGCATTAAGCATAGTTGACATCCCATGGGCTTGAAAAGGTACAGTGTGTAGCGTGTAGCCGCATTCAGCAGAACAGACTTGGTGAAAAAAAGAGTATTATGTTTACAGCCACTGTGAGAAGACTGAAATCGATTGCGATGCCTTTTTATGATCTAAAATAGCAAACAAGAGCAATAACTTTAGGGCATTGTGTCTGATATATACAATGTCTGATATATTTGACCGTTAAAGGAGAGCAGGGTGAGATTTTGTTAAAAAACGCTGTCTTAGCATGTACAAGACAAACATATAGATAAAGGTACCACTTTGTCCGCCATCTTGCGCTGCCGCTACCACCAGCAAGGCAAACCTGTAGCTCATTCCCAATGACTATTTAGCTGGAACAAGTTGTATGTTGAAATCAAACTGTAGGATTTATACTTCTGAAAGTAAAAAGTAGGCACTCAGCAATCACTCTGATGAGCTTGGACTCTTAGAGACCCCATGGACCAATCAGCACAGCTCTTACAACTCCTCCTTTTGAGTGGATTGAGGAGAGTCAGAGTGAATCTGGTTTGGGAGATAGTTTAACATACTGCTCTGTTATGTCTGTTGTTGAACTTAAAGTTCATTTGAAGACTGTTTGCCTTGTCATTATCAGTATCATTAGTAAATTTACAAACCAAAAATACAAGTCACGGTCTTTTGCCTGCTTACCAAGGGCAATATAAAACTGTTTTTGTAGATGTATCTTCTTGCAGAGATTTTCCATGTGAAGACCAGCATTAGAAATCAAAAGTTGCCCCAGGAAGCCTCATCGTTTTTCTAGAGTATTACATCCTCTCTCTTTGTCCCTCCTCGCCAACAGATTTTGGAAAACAAACTCACACAACTCACCGGGAGCCAAATAAAAGTTTCTGTAAAATTATAGTAGTTATCTGGCAACCCAAAATAAAGATGTTCTGTGCCAGCTTTGGTTGAAATTCACTGAGTAATACTTCACGTATCTCACAATACCCCTCAGTAAAAGTGTTAGAACATGCGTGAAACTTCGCCCACTCATTCGTACGGTTGCAGAAGGTCTAGTTGTAGTTGAAAAGGTGTTAAAACTGTGTGAAGTACTGTTGAGTTACGAAAAAACAAAAGCGATATTTCTCTCTTTGTGTTTCAACAGATCTCTGTCTGGGCGCATAGTCGGTGGCGTTTGGTGGTTCTTCACTTTAATCATCATCTCCTCCTACACTGCAAACCTGGCTGCTTTCCTGACTGTGGAGAGGATGGTCTCTCCCATTGAAAGTGCAGAGGACTTGGCTAAACAGACTGAGATTGCCTATGGGACACTGGACTCTGGCTCCACTAAAGAGTTTTTTAGGGTAAGAAATGCTCTCTTTCTGTTCTCTGCCTTTGGGAACAAAGACTTTGAGTTTAAGCAGGAGTCACTGAAATGCAACGCTCCACTTTCCCATGGAAGTGAACCATGGTCCTCAGCTTGAAATAAAACTTGGTTCAGGAAATTTAATCTTCCTTGCAGGAGTGCCTAGAAATCCCTGTGGGTTGAGTGGGTTTTGTCTCAAAGCAGGGACTGTAAATTGAATTTTGGAGGCTTTAAAAGAAGTCACTCTTGAATTGAAAATAAACTAGAGAAGCTCCAAAAGTAGTTTACTCATCCTAAAACTGGAAATGCTTGGGCCTGTAGCAGATACACTGTACCTTTCTGATACTAATGCAACTGAAAATAGAAGACACAGAATGCCACCATTACTCATGCACTGACTCATGTTTCATTCTCTGCAAATACAGCAGTCATTTTTCTTTATTTTTATAATTAACATATAATTAAAGGTAATTGGTGGCCATCACTTATACCTGTGGTGCTACAAAGCACTTCATTTCTGAGTCATGTGAATGGAAATTTAAATTCTGAATAAAAGACTTGTTAAAAGGAAGGATATCAGACCCAAAACACCCAACATTAAACACAGAGTCTGCAGGTAGATAATGGCATTGGGTTCACCAAATGTTGCTGAAGCCCACGTTGGCAGAGCGAGCACCAACAGCCTTTGGTCTACATGCCTGTGCTGGTGATGCTTCACTTAGGTAGGGTGGTTATATAACTGTTTAATCAGATACTACACTAGAGCCCTCTGTTACTGTGCTTGTTTACATCCAGGTAGTGGAAGATTATAAAACTATTGCCGTAGTCATTAATTGGCTAGCTCCAGCTTCAATAATAATAGAGATATTGATTACTTTGGGGTGTCGTTGGTCCTACCTGTCTAAATGCACCCCATGTATGTACCCTGGTTGACAAAGTACAATTGCGATTTGCGGGTGTTTCCATTGAATGGTGTTCAGTGCATAAGCGAGCCGTCTGCCTCTCGCGAGCCGTGTTTAAATGGCCGTTGCCTAGCAACGAGGTAAACTTCCTGCCCGTGCGACCTCGTATTCCTTAAGCCTTTTTGCACACCAACATGGACGAGACACAAAACATTTTTCGTTTTGGAGCAGCTATTTCTGTGACCATTACTGCTGTTGCCGCTGCTGTCATCAGAAGACGAAGGCAGCGGGTGATAATTCAAAGGCAAAGCTCGTATGTATGGTAGCGAACACGGATGAGGGATTTCTGCGAGAGGATCGTTAATGAGGAATTCACAGACGAATTGTGGATTCAAAACTTCAGAAAAATACAAATACAATTCAAAACTTCAGAAATAAGTCCGTCTCCTCTCCCGTCCACATATACCGTTCCATCTACGCTTGAAATGAACTGGTCACTTGACCCGCTACGTCACGTCCGGTGACAGAGAATTGCGAGAAAAGCGTTTCCATTACACTTTTGCGATATACTTCTATATCGACACTTCTGAAAAACCACCTCATGAGAGCGTAAAAACTTTTTAGCGATATTTGGGAGGTTTTTCGAAATGTAGGTGTTTCCATTACCAGTTTTCTATTGCGATATTTACGTTTTGCGCAAATCTATGGGTAATGGAAACGCAGCTATTGATTACTTTGGGGTGTCGTTGGTCCTACCTGTCTAAATGCACCCCATGTATGTACCCTGGTTGAAATCTAGCCAGTGTATCCTTTACTGCATGTCACTACCAGCTCTCTCTCTACCTGTTTTCTGCTCTTTCCACAATCTTTCCCATTAAATACCAACCAAAAAGCTCCAAAACAAATCTTTAAAAATAATTTAAAATAAAATTATTTGTTCAATCAAGTAGTAAATCTTGCGTGGCCTAGCAAGGGCAATAACGTCAAAGAGTGTATTTGGGTTAAT